CAGAAGAGATGAGATAGTGAGAGAAGAGTGGCAAGCTCGAGAAGAAAGAAGGCCTTTGAAGATGCGGAAAGCGTACAAATGAAGGGAAAGAGAGGTGGAGAGACGATGATAAGAAAGCAGGGGAAAGAAGACAAGAGAAGAGAGAGGGTGAGTGAGAAGGGAAAGGCGGTGATGGAACCAAGTGGAGAGGGATGGATAGATGGCGGATGGTGGATGGTGGAGGGCCATGGGATAAGACAGGACAGGTTGGATTAGTGAGGGTGGATGATTGTTCATACTGTCCAGCACACCCATTTCCAAGGCCGACCCCTTCCAATGCAGGCGAGACAGCGAGTGAGAGCCAGGTCTAGAATTGACGGGGGTGTACTTGGAGTTGCCAGCTACAGCGCTGCAGCTCCACCTGCCCAGGCCCCAGGATTAGAGAGGGCCGGGCCCACTAGCTAAAGACATGCTGTCGTACCTTGCGTGCTGTGTTGTTGCTTGTACCGGGCTAGCCGGGGTTAGCAGGAGGCAGGAGGTACACACATCTATAGGTAGGCACAGGGGGGATGCAAGCCAATTCCTGTGCTGCACTGTACTGACTGTACACAGACGGCACACATGGCAACGCAACGACGACTACGACAACTACGGCAAAGGGGACAGGTCAGGTACACGGAATTACAAGATGCACTGTGACCCTGTGTCCCGTTCGCTCCATTCAGGTGCCTCAAATGTTGGGGGAGGCTTGGACGCCAGCAAAGAAGGAATGGCGCTACTGTGGGACGATACCACGACGGGCAAGGGAGGGAATGGCGGCATAAAGAAGTCAATCAAACAGAAGCAGCGATCAGAAACATTGATGGCCCAGGATTGGTGATGATGATAATACCCCTTCGTCTCAGGATTAGGAAGCATTGCAACAGACAGACAGGTTCAATCCAAAACATGACGGCAGAAATGAAATGAGGTCAATAATGAATACATACACGCGTTATCAAGACACTGTTGCGACATACTGTATACTGGAAGCAGCCAATTCGTTGCATAACTCGTATAACTGGTTCACTTTCCATGTATTATGCATTGCCGCGTTATCAAAGTTATCCGTTCCCCGGACATCACAATAGCGACATGACGGAATACCAACTGACATGACGACTTGCCAAATGCAGATCTAGCACTGTGCTATCAGGGAGCCGGCGCTATCTAGCTCAGTGTCAACAAGACCTCACGCGCACTGAGGGTGGAGAGCATTAACCAGAACCAGGGCAAACTCAGCAGAAGCCAGATCACTCACTCAGTGACTGGAAAGTCAACCGGGGGAATAGGGGAGTCATCCAGAGGCCGGTGCCGGGGCTCAGCATCAGTCATACGGACGAGTACGGGGCCCCAGCGCCGAATCTTGGTGGCGATTCGAGTAGCTTCTGCCGGCGTCCCTCCCGTTGGACGCTGCCGGCCCAGCTCACCATTGCCTTTTTCTTTTACTTTTATCGGTGGTCGGCGGGAAATGACATGTTGGTCAGCGTGATCATACAGTGTGCGCCCCTCTCATCAAACAGTACACCTACAGCGCCGGGCTCAGACACTGGGAAATGGGATTCGCGCAATCTGGACCTCCGTCGATGCAACGCTGATAGCGGCTTCACCGCCCGCTACCCTTCAGCAAAGTAACTTTTAGGCTATACTCTGGTGTTTCAAGGACAGTGCTCATGTGTATTGCCTGATGCAGATCCCAACAGACTGCTAACCAAGCTACCGCTGGGCGTAGACAAGATGGTGTACGGCCTCGAGGCATGAATGGAGCACTTGTTCACTGGCTGCAGCGACGGAGCGTAGCAATGCACATAGTGCGCATAGTGCGCGTGGCACCAGTGTAGAGTAGTCCATGCCATGGGCTAGTTAATACATCCCATGCAACGACGATGCGATGCTATCCCCAGGTTTTACAGGCTTGGCTCGGCAGCGCAAACAAGACGAGAACGAGCTGTTAGTTGCAAGGGTTCTTCTCTGTCCCCAACGAAATCCAACCTGGGAAATCCAGCTTCTGATGTCCTACTCAATCTGAACTGAACTGTCTCGTGGACAGGAAAAGTGAGCCCATTCTTGACTATCCCGAATCCGAAATCAGGGTCTCGTTTTCTCTATCGCTATTTCGGTTTACAGTTTTGATCCGTCTCAAACGCAATTCGGGCTTTTTCTTACATAGATAGTCGGCGCCACGGCACAGTCACAGTCCGAGTGACGGACGGGCGGTGCGCAGCCAACATTGCAGTCGGGGAATTGAGGCAATGGCTATCAGCGACTACGCAATTAGACTATTCAGCAAACAAACTGATTGGATCTTGTGCCACGTTTCTCTCGTTCCTGGACTGGAAGCCTGCCAATTCTTCGATTGCAGAAGACCCTTGTTATCGCTGGTTATCAAGTTCCAAGTCTCCAACTTTTGCCGCCAGTCTCTTGTCGATCACCCTTCTGACGCCGTAACGCTTACACCCTTGCTCGTCTGCTAATCTAGGTTATCAGTGAATTGGCCCAGCGTGGGCACTGGGTCATGCACTCCTGGATCCTGCATTCCAGTGGGCGTGCCCCCGGTGCCATGAGGACCCTTTCGTCTCAGGGACCAGATGAACTAATAGACAGACAATAAGACTCGGCCGCCAAAAGTAAACAGATGGTTTCTTCAGCCGCCGAGTCTGAATGTGTCATCCAACAAACGCCAGAAGCTTCCAAATATTGGTCAGGGACTGGGATTGTCCAAGGAGATCTTACTGTGTTGGTGTTTACACCCGTAAATAGAAAAGGGGCGTGCGTCAGAACAGGCTATGCTTCCAAGGCTGGCTGCTGGGCTGGCAGGAATTGCGTGTATGTAACGATCTGTCGTCAATCATCAAACGTGACTGGATGGATTTTCAAGGGTCCGTGTTGCTCAGCCATGCACAAATCTGTGCAAATCTTCACAAAACATCACCATGACACGAAACAGCTGTGCACAACTGAATGGCCTGCCCAGGAGACTGTGATGCTACATACCCTTTTGGGAAGAAAGACAACAAAGAGCAACGAACCTTGAATTTCGACTCGACAGACGAAATGACGGCATTTCGTCTCCATCAGGGCGGGGTGCAAAATATACGTGGACACGAGATTATTCAGGGAATATGGGATTACGAATCTCGGATGATGGAATTCTTCGAGATTACTCACCTGCTCCAGTCTCCATTGTTCAAGCCAAGATAGATACTGTGCTGTATGTATGTGTGTACGTATGTACCTGTGTGTACTGGTTTGTTTGGACGGACTTGACACTCGGTGCGGGTCCCCGGGCCTCGTGAGATCTGATGTTTGCTGTCCCCTTGTGGAGTCCGGACAAGTATGGAGACGGAATTCGATATCGGCGTTCCAAGGACAGGAGACTTGGAGTCGTGACTCAGTGAAGATGAAATACGGAGATGAGATGATGAACATTGGTCATGTCACGATGGTCACGGGTGAGTAAGTCGCTCGCTCTAAGCCTACATGTTGCACAATTGCACGTTGAAATGGTTCTAGACACGACTCCCTATTTCGGTTGGACGTGATATAGTTGTCTCAAGTCACGTCGTCCCCGGTTCTGATTCGTTGTCATATCGGAAACACAATATTTACTTACATTGACAACATAACATGGTATTATGCGCGGATCTTGTCAACAAGGGCGGAGATGGTGGGAGAGGGCAACAAGGGATATTGAGGGGAAAACCGAGACGCTGAAGGGGTTGAATCTCATCATCCAAGATGATCTCCTGACTCAACAGATTTGCTCTCTAGATATCGCGTGAGAGTTGCAGCTCTTGTCCAGGGTAGCTACAGTACTGTCAGTCATGGGATTGAATTGAAGCTCCAGCAAATTGTGACCCATCAGCTGAAGTGAGGTGATGGATCAGACCCTTCATTCATCTTGAAGTGGCTGGACGACAGAGTGACATGTGCAGCGGTAGGAGGGGCCGCCTAATCACAAGTACCCTCACTGGATCCCGATACCACGAGGCCAAGAATTGAGACTCCACCAAATATGATGAGAGAAAAAGGGTCCTGCTGTGACTGTGGACAACACATGTTTTTTCTTTCACCGTTGCCAGGGGCTGTCTCACTGCTGCGTTCCGGAAGCTGCATGAACTGGCCACTTCCACTCAGCTCGGGAACAGCAGGGGATCTGTTAAAAGCTCCGTATCGAGCTGCAGCTTGGGTTGCTTTGCCTCGGGACCACAGCCTGCAGTGACACGGGGTTTGGCGACAGCCGGCATAGACTAGACCAGGCGTGTTGTACAATGCTGAGCAGACCAGACCTTGGATACGAAGAGATCTAGTTCACGACCTGTGACAGATGAACTGTCAGTTGTCATTTTCGTGAACAGGTTTTTAATTAGAGATCCATTGTATTCCTCAGAGCCAATTCACTTGGATCTGGCCGCCGACCCCTGTAACACAGCCAAGTCCTTCTATCTGGTTCCTTTATAGCAGACCTCTTCGTTGTCCTCCCTACCCTGCAGTCGGGAAATACTAACACGTCATTGGTCAGTTCCCCTCGAACCAGCCAACCTCACCTCTTGACCGCCTTTCCTCTAATGCTCACATGGCTGCAAACCAACCCTCCATTCGCATTAGATTCGATCTACTATTGCATCTCATCAACCCACGTTCCCAGCTGCATCAAGCTTAACACGGACACCTCGTCCAGGATCTTAAACCTCCAAGGAAATCACCTCACCAAAAGGCGCCAAGCTAGATAGCGGCCCGCTCTTGGATCCAGGAACAAGGACCTTCTGCTGCCACCGCCGATATTGGTTTTTTTTTCACGCTCTCTTCCTCACACTTCAAGATCGTAGCAGGGATCCCGAATCGGAATCGGTGTCTGACAGAATTTTCTTGTCATCTCTTCTTTCTTACTTTCGGTCTAATTCACCAGTTTCATCTCTCACATTGGACGTGTCAATATTCGGGCTTGACCGCTTTCTCACGAAAAAGAACTCCTTTTCACGATGACGCTCAACCTCAATGAATTCGACGTCCTAGTGTTTGATATTGGTAAGATTAAACTGGCTCCGCAGTTGCTGTTGGCGACTGCATGTTTTGTTGACTGCAAGGACTGTTTTGGACTGAGTTGTCATTTATTGTATTGGCATATGTTTTGTACCTTACTTTACACTCACGCTTTGCTTGGATATCGTACACTCAGAATAGCCAGAATAACACATATTACAGAAGGAACCGTTTGTCCCATCTCCTTTGTCAAGGACGTTCTCGTGAGTCGTCCCGTTTTCTTGTTTGTCTCACTTCGCAACCCTTCCGATTTTACTCCCTTTACCCACGTACCACCACCTCCGTCCGTCCCCCTTACCGCCTCCGGGCCCGGACCTCCGTATGGATACCACCAAATTTCGTCCCAGCCTCCTCTTCCGGACGTCCTCCGTCCAGCTGCCGGCCTTTGTACTCAGATCCCGGGTGTCCACGCTGCCGAACCAAGTTATGCCAAGTTGCGCAAGTCTCGGGCGCGTGCAGCTGAAAATTTCAAGCCGAGCACTTCTTTCCCAGCCCCCTTTGCACTCTTCACCGACTTTGCCTGTTTCGTGACAGCATGCACGATGTCGACAACACTGCAGCCTGCTGACCAAGGTCTGTTTGTTGTCATTAGTTTCCGTATGCACTCGAGGCACTTCCCAAGGTGTTAGATCGAGAGTGGGATAGCCCAGAGTTCGCAAAGTACCGCGATGCCTTCCCCGAGGAGTATCGCAACTCGCGCTCTGACTTTGAAGCGCACGTCCGCGACCTCGTGAAGCGTGATGTCAAGATCGCCTATCTCAAGTCGCTCCAGGGTTACCTGTGGCTGCAAGGCTACAAGTCGGGTAACATCGTGGCGCCCCTCTTCCCAGATGTTGAGCCCTTCTTCAACGAGGCCACCCAAGCTGGAAAGAAGATCATCATCTACTCATCCGGCTCAGTCCCTGCGCAGAAGTTGCTCTTTTCACATACCAACTCCAGGAAGTCAGATATGACGCCTCTTATCGCAGACTACTTTGATACCACTAATGCGGGGCCCAAAACCGAAGTTGATAGCTACGCGAAGATCATTTCTGAGCACCCGGAGCACAAGGACGTCGACCGATGGCTTTTCCTGAGCGACAATATCAACGAGGTCAAAGCTGCTGTTGAGGCTGGTATGCGCAGTGTGCCCGTTGTTCGTCCTGGTAATGCGCCCTTGCCGCCAGACGAACTTCTGTCCAAGCTCGCCATTACCGAGTTCAAGCACTCAGAGGTCGCTTCTTTGGGAGTATGATAGACGGCTGCAGCAAAAGGTCGCTCAGGGTGTGGGGAAATGATAATCGTCGAATAGCGTGGGACCTTTGTGCGGAGATACAAGAGTAGTAGCTCGCTAGGGAATTCTAGTACCCTCAAAAACTGAGACCACCGTCCAGCTGATCCCGTCTACTGGTGATCTGGTGTCCCCAAGCTGCATAAGTGTCACCATGCACCTTATCAGTCGTGCGACGTAGCAAGTTGCAGATAGTCGATCCAGACGATACAGCACAGTACGCGCTCTCCAATAACTGTGTAGATAAGATCCTATTATCGAGAGTTCAACATTCGTACCGTGCCAGCTTATTGTCGCGTGCTCAAAACTCCGTGTGTTTTGCCGTGCTGATAGTTTGTTGGGCAGTTCCGCATATGCAGCTCGTCGAGGCCCCACGCGTTGTCGTGTCTCCCCTCATCGTTTCAGTTTGAATGACTCGTTGAAGCTTTGAGCGTCATGACAAAATTGTTCCGTGTCCGTCCTGGATTGACTTCCTTCTTGGTAAAGTCCGGCCGCTTTTCGGAGACGGTCTCGATCCTTTTCCAAAGAGTATATGCCAATTTCTGAGTCATCTTGGTCTTGGTACATACATAGCCGAGAATCGTCATCAACTCCTCGAAGCGAGTTTCTGTGAAGTATCGTGAGTTGTCAACACAGCTGCGAGGTAGAACCACAAAAAGGCAGGGAAACGGTTCGTCAGAACCAGTTGCAGGTTCAGCTGCAGGTCGAAGAAAGGAGAGAGTCCGAAGAAGCATCTGTCCACGCCCCTCGGCCTCGGGCACGAAGTTGAGCACTAGACTCAGAGAGATGATATCGAACACCTCAGAATCGTCTTTGGGTAGGGGGCGCTCCATAAAATCTTGCTTTGTGATGCCTGACTCCTGGCTGTTGAGATCGATATGCCTCATAGTAAAGATACCGCTTGTTGAGCATGCGTTACGAGTGCTCAATGCCCCAACCTCCAGCATATGAAACGGCCGAGCACGCTTCTTGAGATCTGCCACGGGGAGCCATTCCAGAAGCACTCTTGACGTGTCACCTCCTCTATCGAGACTCTGACCTTGCAAACTAGCCTTCTGATAGTGGTCAAGACCACCCAGCTTGGCAATCTCCGAGGCAAGGCGAGTTTCGGTGACCGTGTCGCCCTTGGCTGCAGCTTGCCGACGTTGTTTTTCCAGTTGGTGATGAGTGTTGATGAGACTCCTGCTCGCTTTCCTAGACATTGACCGTGAGGACTTGACAGTTGGCGGGCGGCCACTTGAAAGGCTCTTCAGCCTTATTTGCTTCTTGGAAACCATTTTATAAGTGAAATGAGAACGACCCTTGCGTGTTGACCTCTTGACCCCTTAATGCATTGAAATCTGAAGATTTTCATGTTAGTCTCGGTAAAGAGGAGGCTAACATTGAAACTCACCGATTCTCAAATCGAGCAATTCCTCAGGGGAGCCCCAGGAGATTACAGTGATCTATAAGGCCTCGGAGAGCATTTTGATTCCTATTTATCGATCGAATTGCCCAAAAGTTCCGTGTGATTGAGTGCGACATACACTCTCTCGATGACTTTTTGCAGTTGGCTTACCTAAGGGAGATAGATTGGTTTAAGCACTGACCAATCACACCATGTTGAAGAGTGGAACCTGCACCTGCCCTAATTGCAAAAAATCACAAAAATAAATAGATTTTAAATCTGCGAACCTTTTTGTGAACCTTTGACCACTCCGACGACAACCAGCACACCCGACAATCTTGTGCCCTCGACAACACCGACGCAATGGCCGCCAACAAGAAAGGTACGACATGATATGAAACCACAAAGAGGGGAGAGAAGAAAGGGAAAAAAAAGAGGAAAATCGGACGGGCGAAAGCGAAATTGAGCAAGAATTTGAACGGCGATGTTATGGCGACCCTCGAGAGATCAAATCATTATATCGCCTCGATGTCACTACATCTATTGCGACAACTGCTATGACCGGTCTGCCTCGCTTCTGGGTTATCGTCTTGATCGCTTCGACATCGCCGACCTTTCGACTCGATCCATCTTCTGAATCTCCTCTTCGACTCTCACCCTCTGAGTTCATACTCTACCGCATCATGCTACAGCAGATTTTGCGAGTTCTGAATAAGAGCGAATGCTGATGCTTTCAATAACAGTTCAGCCCAAGGGCAAGGGTAACAAGAAGGCCCAGGATGCCGCCAAGGCCGCTCTCAAGGGCGTAAGTTGAAAACATTTTGCTCAAGACCACCGTCCCAATGCTAACTTGATACCAATAGTCCAACTCCCACAAGAAGGTCAAGGCTCGCTTCAGCACCTCCTTCCACCGCCCCAAGACCCTGATCACCTCGCGAGCCCCCAAGTACCCTCGCCGATCCATCCCTCACCAGCCTCGCCTCGATGAGCACAAGGTTAGTCCCACCTGGAGTCAGATCTGCTGGGGAAACGATTGTATTAACCACATTCTAGATCATCGTCCACCCTCTCAACACTGAGAGCGCGATGAAGAAGATGGAGGAGAACAACACTCTCGTCTTCATTGTCGACATCAAGAGCAACAAGTCAGTATTTTCAAGAACAATATCAGATCAGAATCTAACATCGATACAGGGCCCAGATCAAGCTTGCTCTCAAGAAGCTCTACGACATTGACTGTGTCAAGGTCAACACCCTCATCCGCCCTGATGGCACCAAGAAGGCTTACGCCCGCCTGACCCCCGATGTCGATGCTCTCGACATTGCTGCCAACAAGCTCTCTCTCGTCTAAAAATACCACCGGGCTTGTGGGTTTCTGGCTTCTCTGGCGTGTCTTTGGGTTGGTTTTTGGCCTGCTGAAAATGCAAGGCATGGGCATCGGAATAGGCGTAAAAAGAACTTCTCGTTGAGAGTGCAAATGATCATGAATTCAATACCACCCGGGACACGGCTCCGCTTAGTCGTCCAAGATGCTGCCTTGATATGATTTGGGTGATAATACGTGGATGTGATTTGTAGTTTGGGGTCGCAAGTAATTTTTGCGTTTATTTCTAACAAGTCTTTGGGTTTCGCAGAAACTACGGCTCATATACTTGGTGGCATACCATGAACAATGTGCCAGTTAAGTCAAGACAAGCCATAACCATTTTAGATGAGTCATTTCCAAACAACCAGGGTTGAGATCTGTTTTTTTCTCTCTAAATCGTTCGTGATATACATAGCCCAATTGCCAGTCTCTTTGACCAACAGAGTCTCGGTCGTCCGTCCTGGTCACAGCCTGAGTTTTCCACCATGACCACGGCCCGTCTATTCATACAAAAAATCTCGTAATACATAGCAGAAATAACCTTGTTTCCATTCAGAAATCAGTTTCCTAGTTGCGCATGCCGTTGAGGTGCTTCATCGTAAGGTAGTTGACGTCAAGAAATCGCTCGACACAGTTGGCGAGACATGTCTCCTCGGACTTGTCGAGCTTGGGGTTCTTGATGTTTCCAGGAACGCACTTGGTCCAGCACATTTGGGTCAAGCTATGTGTTTCTAAAGACATTTCGTCAGCGATTCCGTATCCCATTATGTCTTCCTCGGTATTGTACGTACGGGCTTGGATCTGAGAGCGCTGCTGCTCATTGGCGAGGAACTGGCGGAGCTCGAGGCGATCCTTGTCGTTGAGCTTTTCGAGGTCGGCGTTATCGATGGACAATTGTTGAGCACTCATTTTGGCGTTTGTAAAGAGATTGGTCGTGATTGATGGTGGGTTGAAGTTGGTTTGTTGTAGAGTAGATTCTGCTCACAAGTTCAAGATTTTTGATGATGCGCAACTCTAATCAACGGACCAATAATTGGCCACGGATGGGCTCGTAGTCCCACTCTCAGCTTTCACCAGGGGAGTACCTAGAAGAATAAGTGTCTATTGCCTTAGACTACCATTTTTTTCACCAAGAGATACAAGCAGCTTTGATTTATATGGCTCAGAGAAAGAATTATTAATCCGACGCATTATAATAGCCAAGGTATACTGAGAGTCTTTTCACTATCACATACAGCTCAAGACAGACGACCCAGCGCCATGAAGCTCTCTATAAACAGTATCTAATTTATAAATACCAAATAAGTAGTCATAATACCGCTCTAAAAACAATCCTCATGCAACAACTCTAACCAGAATATGCCACCGAGTAACACCCTTCTATACTGGAAAAGAAACAATGGTAACGACCGACTGGGTTCGCAGAACCAACATGTGCATGTAGCATCCACATGCATTGCTTTCGCTAGATGTAACGCTTCCAACGGGCCAAGGCCATAAAAATGATGCATAGGAAAACCATGAAGCTGATGATACTGAAGAAAGGAGCCAAGTTGTTTGCGGCAACGGTTGCAAACGGAACTGGCACGTTCATTCCGAACACACCACTGACCAAGTTGAGGGGGACCAGGATCGAGGCCAAGAAAGTGATTTTGCTCAGAACCTCGTTAGTGTGTGTTCCTTGGGCGATGCTGTTGATGGAGACCGTAGCAAGATAGTTGCTGTGTGCGCGAGACAAAATCTTTTCGAAGTGTCCCAAGTTGGTGGCCATTGTCACAACGTGATCCTGGATATCACCAAGGTACATGCCGATGTCCATCCGTGGCGTCACCTTGTAGTTCTCGTTGCATCGCTTCGTGAAACCACGGAGAACATCTGCCTTGCCACCGAGGAGGCGAAGCAGGGCCAGGCAATTCTTGCGAACCCGGCCAATGCGACGGAGAAACGACTTGGAATCATCCTCACGCATGACGAACACCTCGTCTTCAATAGCATCCGCTTCAAGCTCAATCTGGCGAATGACAGGTCCGAAGGAATCAACAATGTCGTCACTGTGGGCAGTTAGTATGACTCTACAGGTCGTATTCACAGGTAAACTTACATCAAAGCATAGCAGATCCAGTCGCTGCTAAGAGAGACATAATCCTTGAGGGCAGTGATTCGCTTACGAACCTGAGCCGCGTGCGAGTTGGGTTCAAAGCTGAAGCTCAGTGTGCCCTCACGAAACACGATGACGTAGGTGTTGAAAGGCTCATACTCAATGCCATCAGGCTCCTGGACAACTGAGAAAGAACGGAAACAGGCAAAGTAGTACGACGGGAAGAGTTCAATCTTCTCGCGAGCCTCCTGAGTGATGATATCCTCAATTGTCAGAGGATGGATTCCGAAAGCTTTGCAAATGCTCTGGACCTCCTCCTTGGAAGCCGCATTGACGTTGAGCCACCAGACACCATCTTCGTCTTCATCAGGAAGCTCGAAGAGGCCTCGAAGGTCTTCTCCTGGGAGAACCAAATCGCCAAAATCAGCTGCGTGGATAGTTGACTCCCATGCTGAAGAGAAGAAACTGAACCGGTTGGGGTCGATAGGCGCAGGCTGCTTTTCAGCAATTGACCCCTCCGCATGAGTCTGCGCTGTCTGGTTCGTCTTCTCACGGGTCATCGAGTCATCCGAGACGGGTTCCAGGATATCACCATCAACAGTGACCATCCGCTGAAGGCGCGATTCATTCTGCTGAGTTCGCATATCCTCAAAGCTCTGCTTCTCGGCAGCGGTAGCGTTGCGCTCAGCCGCTCGCTCAGCCGCGCGTTCAGCTGCCTGCTCATTGATGAAGGTCTCGAGATAGTCAAAGTCAATGTACAGGTGGTCCTTGTGATAGCTCTCCTTGACAGGGAAGCAGACATCCTCCTCTGCAGTTGTGTTGGTTGAGAGGCTAGCAGCATCATTGTCGATGGTGCGAGGCTTGCTTCGGTAGCTGCGCTTGCTTGAGATAGACATGGCTCGGCTGGCTACATCTTCGATATCAGGCTTGTTGGGTTCCGAGAATGACATATCACGCTCTCGACGGCGAGCCTGGGCAAACGCCTTGACCGAGTTAGGTGGCGAGACAGATCGATCCGTGGAATCCACAGTAGGTCGGCGACTGCGACGAGCAGTGGGTGAAAGATCACCTACTTCCTCATCGATGATGGCCTCCTCGAAGTCGCGAACTACAATCGCAGGAGGGGCGGGGGGCTCAGGTTCGAGCTGTCGGGCACCATACAGACTGTCGAATGTGCCACGGCGAGGGCGCTCAACTCTGGTTGAACCCGACTGGTGACGGTGATCATCGAGCTCCGGGACGGGAGTGTCGTACCCAGACTGGGCAGCGGATTCCTCGTGGTCTGACATTTTGGCTTTTGGCTAGGTTTGTAGCTTGATATTGACTATATTGGCTCTAACGGTGGCCGTGTAGAGTAGATGGATACGTCTCGAGGAGGGCGGAAGGTGTATTACGGACTCGGTATTATAGTCCCATAGCTTGTTGTTCCAATCAGTGTCGTCTGATATAGGCGGTTATAGACGTCGCACCCGGCGCGGCATGGGCGCGCCGAGTTGGAGTTTGTTCAAAACTGAGCTCTGCTCGGCGGTTGTCGCCAATGGCTGCTGATTGTTAAGAGTAAATATGTACTAGCGGGAGACGAAGAACGGGTAATGCGATCTAAAGACCAGTTACGGGGGCTTCTTGTTTACTCCGCTGTAGACCCAGAAGCTGGGACCGAAGAGCGAAGGGAGAGAAACGTTTGAGAAGGCGAGTTGAGCCAACTTGAAAACTTGTATGGGATAATGGCAAGACGCCGATACTGGATGATGGCGTAGAGTAAGCGGTTGCTCGGAGGTGCCAACAGTACTGAAGGCAATTGAAATAGAAGCCGGTCAAGGTTCGATAAAGGAAGCTTCGCGATAAAGTACTCGGTTGGTGCAAGTGGATTTCGATCTCAGGAGTTGAGTCAGGCTGATTTATTTGTAGTAACCAGAATTTGTTTTGGGCCTTGGCAGGGAATAAAGGCAGGGTGACGATACCAGGGCCTATCGTCTGGAGGAACTAAGGTCAAGGGCCAATTTCGATACTGGCACGGTTAGCCAGACGAGAAATTTTCTCGTTACTGGACAGAACAGAGACCCGGTTAATAGTGCACGGGCAAAACAAGCATCAGTGAATAAGAAAACCAAGTAATGTTGGGTACAAAAGGAGGTCTTAGTGTCGAGAGCGACGATGTCAGGGTGAAGTTGGGTTTAAGAGGAGTTTGAGGAACTTAATATACTATAAGTGGGAACCGAAGGGCTAGGAAGAAAAAATTGTCTTTGGTGGTATCAAGTGTCGGGTACCGAATCGCCGTGTGCTATCACAAGCAAAAAATAGGTCATCCTGGTTGACTCGTTGGTTCTTACAGGCCAGACAAGACGGGGAGAGGCCGCCACTTTTCCTGTCTTGGGACACTTGCTTCTGTAGAATGAGCTTGGTCTGGACCATCGGTGTCCGTGTCCGTGTTAGATATCAGGCTTGTCCTTGGTCAGGCCTAGTTTAGAACCTAGGAACTCCCTGTTGTGCCTGTCCGGCTTTGAGAGCCGATTCGCCACTGTCGGGTGGTGTAGGGTAGGCTATCAGGAACCTCGATCATCTCAGCTGATTGACCAGCAGAATGACTGATTCCCCGGAGCACCACTGCATTAATCCCAGCAAATAACTTTAAACGTTGTCCTTTCGTAGAGGGTCAGATAAATGCACCCAGAAGATCAGATCACAATTCGATCATCAGGATATTACTTACTTACGTCTATTCATGGTTACGGCATCTTGATCCTCATTCGCTCAGACATCGAATCTTCTCCGGCCTGAAAAAGCTTATTTACCGAAAGCAGACTAGCCTATGAGCATCCTAACAGCCAGGTGTCGAGACCAATTCCGAACTTGACACTATTGGCGATCGCATTCACATCGATCTCAATCCGACCGAACAACATCTTCAGACACAGTACAAACACACAACGAATACTCCCACCCGATCATCATCCATCATGGCTGAACAAGCTCTTGATCAGATCCGAGACGTCGTCGATGGCCAAATTGTACATGATCCCGCCCGTCGATTTACCTGACCAACAGCTGACTGAAGCTCCACTGTAGGACTTTGAAGGACAGAAGCTTGCCGAGCTCCTCGCGACAGTTCTCCTTGTCATTTCTGGCGTACGTCTTCTTCCTCTCCAACCTATGCCTGTTAACTCGCTGGATTGTTTGGCTGATGATTGCAACTAGCTGATCTCCTTCGTTGTCGGCTACTTCCTCCAAGATATCAAGCTCGCGGTCTACCTAGGTCTAGGGGGCACGGCGTTAACCTTCCTCGTCGTGGTGCCGGCCTGGCCCTTTTACAACAAACATCCCGTCAAGTGGCTTCCAGCCGGGTACGCATACGATCTTGCAAGCAAAGGAAATCAATAAATAGATTGTGTGTCGTGCACTAGGCCTCGCTGTGTCATGACCTCTACAGCTCACGAGGCTGATTATGACACCTAAATACTACTATTTCCTTGCAGTTGTCTTGTTCTTTTCTTCATAGTCCATCAAATTCGGATATCGACCGCATTCTCTTTATCGACCGTACTTCTGGAACTCCCAGTCCCTGTTGTCCAAAGGACAAACAGATCGAGCCTTAAGCCATCTCGAAATGCAGTGAAAGTGGAACGCATGCTGTGTCTCTATTAGCCGAATGACACGAAAAGAAAGGGCGTATAGCAGTCTCACGTTGCATATTCCCCATGCCACGGTGCACTCTTCGCTTGTCGCAGATGCTTGGTTTGCCTGGCACTCGATGCCTAACAATTTGTGAGCACTTGGTGATATACATCCAATAAGAATCCGAGTAAACGTACATAGATCCATGATGTGGTTTCGGCAGATGGCACAGTTGTCAACAACGATGTCCCATGCCCAAAGAGCGACCGCATTCCACTGTTCATTTCGGTCAGCATGACTCCGGGAGGCTCAAGACTGGTAAGTCTGTACCTTCTTGACCTCGAATTTCTTCTTTCCCTCGACACTCTTGCTGCCGGAGCCCTCGCCCTTCTTAGCGACGGGCGCATCGCTCATCTCAACGTCGGCCATGTTTCGTACGGTGCGGGTCAGCCTGCAAGACCACGCTATGGTTGATTTCGTTGACTGATATCGAGGTACACTGGTTGGCTAGAAGCAGTCAGAATTATCCATATGTCGGTAATCTTCACGGACGGAAAATGGGACATGTAGTGCGCAGTCTCGGGTTGAAGGCAAGAGGACGTACGGATATTCGCTGCTCGATAGATCAATATCTATAGAGTTGTGAATGCTTGTAATTGTCAGCAATGAGAAGAGAATGAATAGAAGCTTTGGGCATGGGTTGATTTTGTTAAGAAATGTACCTTGATGGTGCATTTGCAAGGAAGGCGAGGGGACTCACAGTGAATTTGGTTCCTAGCAAGTGATGATGCGGCTCTGAACGTCTGCTCTAAAGGCTTCGGATGCCACAGAGCTCCTCTAAGCATGCGGACAGGCAGCTGGAGGAGTTCAAGCCTTAGGTCACCTCACCTAATTCAGGCTGCGTCCGGCGGGACAGTGGCGGGGCGGGGTCGATCACAGAGGTCCTATCGCTTATCAGTCGTGATGGGACTTCCATTCGCTAGAAACGAAACATATAAGTCTTACACACATGATATACTTTTGTTATATTGCTTTAGTTTTGCATTGTTTAATTTGAATTCTAAACGTATCTTGAAATCTCCTAGGTCATTGGAATACGTGAGTCAGATAATAATAAGGTTCTCTTGCTCGAAAGCAAGGCTGTGAGATGCGACATCTGATCCGCTCGCCGCTTCAGGCGCTGGAGCTAAACGCTGGCCTGACCCACTCTTTGTGCTGGCAATGCCTGGAATCCGCCCGCGTCATTGCTTGGACTGGGCATGCTTTGCGCTTAACCTGACGGGACTGACCTGACTGACTCTTATTAACCCAGACGCTTCCGCCCTTCACTTCTTTTGTTGTTCCCCCTCATTACTTGATCTTGAATCATCCACATCACACTTTCTCCTACAGTACAGCCATGGTCAGATTAGTCGACTCTCTCTTCACCAGAATAGTACTTGCTTTATGCTCAATCGTAACACCTGCCTCGATTTTATATTCTCTTTCATACACCCCACCACCATCTTAATCCGGCTCGATCTTTTGGAGTCCTGTCGCATAGTCAGATACCAACGAACGCCTCAATCAATCAATCAACCAGCCAGCCAGCTGCACATCAAACAACTACGGGACATCGCATATTCGACTTGACTGTTGTCTAAGTCTCAGTCTTAGCCTCAGCCAACACTCATCCTGTCTTTTCCCTCGTGTCTGATCGATTCAACTTGTTGCCACAGACGAAATGAGTGAGACCCCATCTCAGCCTACAACTACTCCTGCCCGCCGCCGTAACGGTCGCGGCAATGGCCGTCCTGCTGCTCAGAAGGCTTATGCCTCCGAGAATGACGTCGCCTCAATTGATCCCGCACGTTACGATCGCGCTCCACGAACTCCTCAGAAGGGAGCTGGCACCGATTCTCCTCATGCGCAGCTGAGCCACACCAATTCGAAACAGCGACCCAGGAATGCAAACAATAATAACAATAACAACAAACATCGTGGGAAGAATGGTCCTCACTCCCCCGAATCTGCTCGGCCTGGTCGTCACACTCCACCGCATCAATCGTCATCTATGAAGTCGGCCTCTGCCTTTGCCGGAGCCACTTTCCATGCATCTCCTGCGCCATCTGCCCTACCTCTTCCCAGTTTTGTCTCTCGTTCGGTAACCGAGTCGCCTAGCGTCAGCAAGACATCTCGAAACATCCTTCAGGAACCCTCGCCCCCTACCGACACTGAAGCGCCAACTCCTTTGCGCCAGAGTGCATCAGATGTCCAGGAATCTCCGCTCGATTTCATGTTTCGCGCCCACCGTCAAGAGAAGGAACGTCAGCGCAGCGAAAGCACCAGCAGCTTCCGCCCTTCAGGCCTCGTCACTGAATCACCCTCTGCCCAGTCTCCTTTTGGGCCTGGTAGTATCCCAAAGCCAGCAACTCTCCCCCAGACAGCCCGCAACCCAACACGCTTCCAGTCTGGTGGTTTCGACAGTGTTGAGCTGGACGGAACTCCAGGCCGTCCCATGGGGCCGGCGTTTTCGACACCCTATCAAGAGCGCATTAAGGCTGCTCGCTCTAACTCTGCTCGATCTCCTGCTGATCTATCCGCCACCCAGCCGAAACCCAACGTTGTACCTGAAGATCCTACTGAGGCCCTAAAGAAATTCCTATTTATCGGAAACGGAACAAATGTCTCTCAATCTGCCCCTAATGGATTTGCACCTGCACCCGCGCCCGCACCCCCTGCTCAACACTACAACTATGCTAGGAGTGGTCCTAGTGTCCCGGCTTCTTGCGACGGCCGCTCAAACAACCTCCAAGCTATGGAAAACGATCTTCGGCGTATTCTCAAGCTGGATTTGAGCACTGGATCGCCAGGAGCGGACCAGCGTTTGTTCTCATAAGACTTGATGTCATGGAGTGATTATTCGTTCGGCGTTTTTCCTGCATCTCTTCTGCATAGCTTTTTAACTGCCATCAATTCCCAGGCGGCATCAACGGAACGTGATATTTGGCGGGACGGTTTTCATTGTCTAGGGGTTAAGGTATAGCGGCATTGTGTCTAAGTCTTGGCGTTATCAGAGAGAGGATTGAAGATATATTGAACGGACGAATGGTCTGACAACAGATGATGGGATCATAGCTTGACGTATACAGTCGAATCAAACAGAGGCACCTCTGATCTAGAGACAGATTGATCTCGCCGTATCTATGGCGCCTGTATCAAAATGGAACAGCCTTGATTGAATGGGGTTTGGCGAAGGAGAAGAGAGAATTCCCTCCTGTTTCTTTGGAACGTATATCATACGCGAGATTAGACCTAAATACACTTTTGAGCGTTGATTCAACTTTGTTGATTCAGCGCATCAATTGATTCTTGATTTTGGAAGAGTGAATGATATATCCTCAGGAATAGATACAATCATCTTGTGTAGGGCCACACCACTTAAAGAACTGAAACAGATCGACGTAGTTGGGTCAAGCTTTCATACAGCATACCAGTAGGAGCCATTTCCTGTCTCTGGTTGTTCCCAGATCCATTAACAGGGACTTTCGCCCGGAACATATCCCCTCCCAACCGCGCCAACATATTAATAGGGACGAACTGAATGCCTTCAAAGTCTGGGGTGCGGCTTGCTTCGGGGTAGCGGTCATTCCAAAGATCCGCTCCTGCCCCGCCATCCCACGCTTGCACACTTGCCCGCACTCATGGAGGAAGGTGCCAGGGCGGGTACGTACTTGCACTAATGGAACACCTCACTCAGGTTCCCTGCTCTCGTGACGAGGAACTCATCGACCTTTGATTTCATAACTCGATTCGCTACAACTGAGGATAGCCTCATCAGCGTCGTTTCTTTCTGTTCGTGGGTGGTTCTGTTCGCGGTATTTCCTCCCTGTGCACCATCAATCCAACTTGTACTATCAAGGTAAGTGAGCCAAACCAACAAAAGATCGTCCAAAGCATGCAACTTATCTGGGTCATGACTCCATCTCCAAGCCCCTCATTAGCTGTCCTCATAATTACGCTTCCCCATGATACTCAAACCTCACCCTTGTGTGAATGTTTCCAGCCTCTGTTGAAATGTCCTTCTGAGTTCTCAGACTGCTCTCATCATATCTCACCAGCCGCCTCTCAGACATCAAAATATCTCTTGTTACCGATCCTGAACTGACTCTTATCTGTAAAGACCTTGAGTCCTGAGCTCCCAGTTCGCTCTATTGCTTATCTCCAAGCCTCGAGTGTATTTATCCCCAGCCGAGGTGTCTTGTTGCCTGCGTCTGATTGTCAATGCTTTTCCAGACTGCTACTTCACTCCTCCGCTCAGCTCCACGACGATTAGCCGCAGCTTCACGCCTATCCTCTCGCCGTTGGGCCTCATCTGAAACAATGACCAAGCTCGATACTACCTCCAGGCTCACCCGCCTGAGAGGCTTGATGAAGGAGCGCAATGTTCATATTTATAGTGAGATTTCATGATACAACTTGCTATTCACTGCTGCAGTACTAACAATGGATTGTAGTTGTCCCTTCTGAGGATAGTCACTCGTCTGAATATATCGCAGATTGTGATGCCAGACGTGCTTACATCTCTGGGTTCACTGGTTCCGCTGGATGTGCTGTTGTTACACTCGAGTCTGCTGCTCTGGCTACTGACGGTCGTTACTTCAACCAGGCCACATCTCAGCTCGATAGCAACTGGACACTTCTGAAACAAGGCCTTCAAGACGTTCCTACATGGCAAGACTGGTCTGCTGAGAAGTCTTCTGGTGGAAAGAATGTTGGCGTTGACCCAACACTCATCTCCGGTTCAACGGCCAAGAACCTTGCCGAGAAAATCCGAAAGAATGGCGGAGCTGAGCTTGTACCTGTTGATGGAAACCTTGTCGATCTGGTATGGGGAGATGAGCGTCCCTCTCGTCCCTCGGAACAAGTCATCATCCAGCCTGATGAGCTTGCAGGAGAGTCTGTCCTGAACAAGCTCACCAAAGTCCGCCAGGAGCTGGAAAAGAAGCACTCCCCTGGTTTCTTAGTGTCCATGCTGGATGAGATCGCCTGGCTGTTCAATTTGCGCGGTAACGATATCCCTTACAACCCCGTCTTCTTCGCGTATGCTACTGTTACCCCTGATGCTGCTAAGCTTTACATCGACGAAGCCAAGCTGGACGGCAAATGCCGCTCGCACCTCACCTCGAACAAAGTCGAAATCAAGCCATACGAAGCTATCTTCGACGATGCCCAGGCACTGCACGCCGCTCATGCTGAAAAGAGCAAGTCAGGCGATAAGGTTCCTACTGGCAACTTCCTCATTTCTAACAAGGGCTCATGGGCACTTAAGCGTGCTCTGGGAGGAGACTCTTCGGTCGATGAAATCAGAAGTCTAATTGGCGATGCCAAAGCCATCAAGACTGAGGCTGAATTGAAGGGCATGAGGGACTGTCATGTGAGAGATGGCGCTGCACTCATCCAGTATTTTGCCTGGCTTGAGGACCTGCTTGTAAACAAGAAGGTTAAACTTGACGAAGTGCAAGCAGCCGATAAGCTTGAAGAGCTTCGAAAGGAAAAGAAGGACTTCGTTGGCCTCTCATTCCCCACCATCTCCTCCACGGGTGCAAAGTAAGTTCGATATAAAGCGATATGAGAGAGATTCATGATACTTGACCATTAAGCGTTGTAAACTTTCGCTGACCATCAAATGCAGCGCTGCAATCATTCACTACGGCCCTGAGCGTGGCAACTGTGCCACTATCGACCCTGAAGCTATTTACCTTTGTGATTCAGGAGCACAATACCGCGATGGTACCACGGACACCACTCGTACCTTGCACTTTGGAAAGCCTACAGAAGCAGAAAGGGAGGCGTACACTTTAGTTTTGAAAGGTCACATCTCTTTGGATCAAGCCATTTTCCCTAAGGGAACCACAGGCTTTGCACTCGATAGCCTGGCAAGACAACATCTTTGGGTATGTTATTAGCAGCAACTTATGAAGTTTGGTCTCTAACATATACTATAGAAAAACGGGTTGGACTACAGGCATGGTACCGGACACGGAGTTGGTTCATTCCTGAACGTCCACGAGGGACCCATTGGTATTGGCACTCGTGTCCAGTATGCTGAAGTAGCACTGGCTCCAGGAAATGTGCTGTCAAACGAGCCAGGCTATTACGAAGATGGGAAGTACGGCATCCGCATAGAAAACATGGTCCTCGTCAAGGAGGTCAAAGCCAAGCACTCCTTTGGTGACAAGCCGTTCTTGGGCTTCGAGTACGTAACGCTTGTGCCGTACTGCCGGAACCTGATCGACACAACGCTACTCACATCTGAAGAGAAGGAGTGGCTCAACACTTACAACGCAAAGGTTCAGGAGAAGACGCAAGAATATTTTGAGGGAGACAATGTGACATTGGCCTGGCTCAAGAGGGAGACCCAGCACATTGAGTGAAGTAACGAAACCGGCCTGAGCAATACTATAGACGTACGAAGGTAGCTAGGATGAATGTTACAAGAAACGACGCAGTGAATAATGGCCGTTCCTTGCTCTTGTTCCATACCGAGCTCTTCTTCAAGAGCTTCTCGATACCAAGAGTCCGAGGAATATCCAAACCCCAGCGAGACGCGACCTGAATATGTGAGACGACACTGGGTGAGCCTATTGGTAGAGGGTGACTTACATGGATGGAAAAGGCAATTAATCCAGTTAGAAGTGCAAGGGTGCGGGAAAAGAGGGCTACTACAACACCAATTCCAAATCCTGAAGACAGACTGTGAGCTTAAATTCGCATGACAAAAGGTGAGGATGACCAACCAGCAACACTTCCACTAGAAAGCTGACGAACCGTATCAGGGGAAACATCCAGAGGACGTCGGCGCGAAGGAGGCCCTGTAGCAAGTGTCGGGGCATCACAACGGATGACGGGTCGAGTTGCAATGAAAGCTCCTACGCAAGTCGCGGGGGCAATGCCTCGGCTCATGGCCCGCAAGGCTACTCGAGAATTGAAGGCTCGATACATGTTCATGAGGATAGCTCGTTTTGAGAACAATAGAGCCAATTGGTGATATGTAGCTGGGAAAGGAAAGTTTCAAGTGTAGGTCGAGAGCTAGAGGGAGCTCGAGTCTGAATTGCTTATTACGTCAGTGACAGTCTAACAGTCATGAGCTCTCAGCCAATGACTGCTCAGCGTGAGGAGAACGAAGAATATCCAGCTCCCCTGAACATGACACGAAGAGCTGGTGGTACCTCGGTAACAAATTTGAATTTGATAATTTATTGACCGCAAATATTACATTTACAGAAAAGGGCTCCCTTTGCCAGCTTCGGGTATCGAAGCCGATGAGATCCTCAAAGTAGTAGGTAAGAAGAAAGCAAAGTAAATCAGCCAACACAGAAGGCCAGCAGGTATATCTCGAAGCGCCCCGACGCCATCCATAATCCCAAAACCAAAGTCTCGTGAGTTCCCATGCAGATCCTAGACTCTTTTTGATTTGTTTTTCACATTTTGTTTCCGTAATCCCCTTCTCTAACCCAGCCCACCCCAGATACCGCGTATCCTCCTTGCTAGTTGAATATCCTTCTGCATGATTGTGACACGCTTGGCGTGAATTGCGCATAGGTTGGTATCTTCGAACAGATGCACCATGTAAGCTTCAGCAGCTTCTTGTAGTGCCATGATGGCTTGGCTCTGCCAGCGCAAGCCTTCGTCTCGTGGGCGCATTGTCAAAGCGATTTCTCGAACCTGTTGACCTAGTGTTAGTTTCCAACTGAGCGAATCCAAGGCGCCGAGGAACTGACAAGGCGCGCAAATGGGAGCTTTCGGAGGAGCAGTTTCGTGCCACTTTGGTAATGTCGAATTTCGCGAAGAGCGACTGTGCCAGGACGGTATCTACGCTTTGCGCGAACGGGAACGGGATCGCCAGCTAATGACATTGTAAGTAAGAAAAGCTACTAGGACAAGTGTGAGTTTCTGTGAATTCATACCTTGAACGTCACTCGGCCGCGACTTGCCCGCGCCGGAAGCTTTAGATTTCCTGGGAGGCATTGAAAGGAGCGTGAAGAAAGTACAAAGAGTGTGTTGTGGGTTTGCGAGAAGAGCTTTACAGCAAAGGCAGTAACACGCGGAAAGGAAGTGAAGCAAATGTCTTGCACAAAACGCTCGAGTTCGATCAATGCTATTCTCGTTAAAAGGAGGCTGTAGGAGAGAAGCGAGAGTGTTGGTGGTGGAATCGCAAGGTGGGAAGGACCACCGCGAGTACAGGGAGCGTGTGAGCGAGCGCGCCTTCCCCCAGCCCCGCGATTTTATTTAATTGATTTCCAGCCACTCTGTCGCGAAACTGATGCACGGCCACATCTGGCATGACGGGAGCTGGGCCAAGCGAGGTACGTATTCCCGGACGGAATGGTGGGGGTCCTGGGCACACCTAGGTAAGTTACCTGTACTCCGTACCCGTCAGTCTCTCAACGTGGCTCGTCCTATTCCGTCATCTTTCAGTTCAACAACAAAACTTTACATGCTTGAGCTTTTACAGCATCTGACGCCTTGCTCTCAACAAGAGTCTTTGGTGTTGCCTGATACCTAAACTCGATCTCCGCTCCTTCCCGTTCATAAAATAAACCCATTACTCGACTACCTAGGTACCTTGTTCATATCCGATCATCGCTCACTTGGCTGTTCCCACTCAGCATCACCGAAAGGAAGATATTCCATTCAACATAACACTGCGCAAAGTTCTCATCGATGGATCAAGTCATGGATGGAGGCCGACTGCCTCTTGAACAATGGTTCTGGGAGATGCCAACATGCACTCGTTGGTGGACAACCGCTACAATTCTGACTAGTGCCCTGGTTCAATGCCAGATGGTCACTCCTTTCCAACTATTCTACAGCTTTCGCGCGGTATTTGTGAAATCACAGGTTCGTATTCTTCCTAACCATTTGTTTGCTTGATTTTATGACAAATGGTTGAAATGCGAACGCTTATGCTGACATTGCATCTCCTACAGTATTGGCGACTATTGACGACGTTTCTCTACTTTGGCCCCTTCTCGCTCGATCTCCTCTTCCATGTCTACTTCCTTCAACGTTATGCGCGTCTGCTAGAGGAGTCATCGGGTCGATCGCCTGCTCATTTCTCGTGGCTACTACTTTATTCAATGGCCTCCTTGATCGCTCTCTCGCCCCTTGTTTCCATGCCATTTCTCGGCCACCCGCTTTCCTCGACGCTGGTCTACATATGGTCCCGACGTAACCCAGAGACTAGACTGAGCTTCCTTGGCTTGCTTGTGTTTACCGCCCCTTATTTGCCCTGGGTATTGATGGGTTTCAGCCTTGTACTGCACGGCACTGTTCCCAAGGATGAGATCATGGGTGTCGTTATTGGACATGTTTGGTATTTCTTTTCTGACGTTTACCCTCCTCTGCACAATGGCTCTCGCCCCCTCGACCCTCCTAACTGGTGGAGGCGTCTGTTTGAGGCTCGACCTCGAGTTGATGCGGGTGATAGTACAAACGACATCATGGTTGCCGGGGCCCGAGAAGCTGCGCCCCGAGAGCTTTGAAGGGTCAAGTGCAGAGAAGGATACCCCTTTCAGCAAAGAACGATAGAGCCATTATGCTCAATATTTGCTATGAATTGGCGTTCAGGATTGGTATGTTTCGGAAGCATGGCACTGGACAGATGTATTGCCGATAGCGTTGATTTACTATGGCGTTGTCAGATTGGAATGAACAATAGCCTTTGAACATTTGGTAAAACTGGTGGTTATTTGTGATACATAAGGTAAAGTAGGTTAAGTACCTAGGCATCATGATGCTGTCTCATGATATGGTTGATAGTAAATTTGTATCAGTGCAAGAAAGCGCTAAGGTAGTGCCGTTCGTCCACTGTAGTTCGGGTGGACACCAAATAAGACACAAGTCCTACACAACCTCTGGGTTGATTTACGAGCTGGTCCATTGAGGGCCCGGCCTTTGAAGGCGTGTGCTTGTGATGTCAGCGCAGCCAGGGACCTTTACCTTTTGCGTTTTGGTGTAGCGCTGACGCGCTGACGTCGCTAGCCTTCGCCGGACATTCCATGGTTGACCCCACCATGGAACCATTGGGACGCTGTAAAATGTAGGTAGGTAGGTACATAAACAGCTTGGGGCCCCGGCCATTTCAAAGCTTCAAAAAGAGCTTCCACCTGCTGACACTTTTGATCTTGCAATACCATTCCTACAGTACTTTTCTGTTTCCCGGATAATCTCTATATTCGTCGGATCAACTAACAACTATGCGAGCTTACTTCTATGATGGCCTTCCCGTGAGTATAACCTCTTTTTGCTGCACGATCCAACTAACAAAAAATTACAGGGCGACCAGCGCCTCCCTCATAACTCGGGCATGCCCGTCAGTGTTGACGATCTCATGAACATCGGTGTCTACTACTACCACCTCCCTGAGCTCGAGTCGGTCGATAACCTTGCCAAGGAGCGTGGCTACAAGAACCGCGACGAGATCACTGTCTCTCCCCAAGCCATGGGTGACATTTACGAAACCAAGGTCAAGTCCTTCTTCGCCGAGCACTTGCACGAGGACGAGGAGATTCGATACATTCGTGGTGGCCGTGGATACTTTGATGTCCGAAGCAAGGATGACGACTGGGTGCGCGTGTTGCTCGAGAAGGATGACCTTCTTATCCTACCTCCAGGCATTTACCACCGCTTCACTACTGATGAGAGCAACGTAAGTAAACAGAAGTACTCTGCTGCAAACCAAAAAGGCTGACGATCACAGTATGTTCATGCCATGAGACTGTTCAAGGAGGACCCCAAGTGGACGCCTCTGAACCGAGGCCCCGATGTCGACAAGAACGAGCACCGACAGGAATATGTGAAGCAGTTCCTGGGTGAGCCCAACCAGTAAGAGGCCCACGTGGGAGTCAAGCCAGTATTTGATAGTAGTGGAGGGTGCTAAGTACCAGGAGACCGACCGAATTACCAGTCCAACTGAAGAACCGTCAAACATGAACGGCGCCGCTTGAAGCTGTGATGGAAAAGCACAGGGTTGACGTGATCTGGGAGCTATTTTACGTCATTTTGCATGGTCTGTCTGTTGCAGACCACAAACATACGACTTGTGAGCGGTTTTGTGAGATCTGAACCGAAAACAACTCAGTCGCAAATTGGTGACAGTCCAAGCAAGTCGATTGCCAATCGTTCAGATATGGTATCTTATTACGATCTATTTCTTGAGGGGATGAGTTAGCGGGAGTTTGGAGAAACCCGGTTCCATATAGCATACAAATATATCATATCTATTCATCGTTGTTCCAAACTGAAGTTTTCACTGAAATGCTGGTGAGCTCCTACAACATTTGCAGTGCATATCTCTTCTATGTGAGGGTCCCAAACTTTTTACGAGTGAGCGCATCATACGGTCAGCAAAGAATACCACTCATAGCATTGGCTCCAGCGTATTTCATGGATAGTTGCGGGGCGTGTAAGTGGGAGTATCTTGCAGTGGTAGTTAGAGCATGCGGCAAAGGCGCAGCTCCTTAAGATCTAGTTGTGCCTCGGCGAATCAAACCTTGAGCTGTCTTGTTGGACTCAAGTCTGAGGCATCTAGAATATTCTCAAGATGCTTTGAGCGACCTGGACCAGGCAAGCTTTAATGCTGTGAAAGCAAGCATGAACGGGACATCCAGGGCATAACATGCATAGATTCATTCCCTGAGAGCATAATCTACAATTCAAGATAAAGACTGTTGCTCTTCTCAGATACTTCTGATGATGCTTTATTCTCAGTCAGATTGGAGGCATTGTGATTGCCTACTAACTAATGATTAGCACTGATACGTACAGTTTTGGACCCCGCCAGAGCATAACACGAGACCCTGGAGTTTTATGGTTTGCAGCTTTCAAAGTAAACCTTCTCTTCAATTCAGCCAAAAACAACAACAACAAACTTGAATAACGGGAATCTGCATCTCAATTGGGGATACCAAGACTCAACGCACACGATGGACACCAGAACCGAAGTCTCGGATGTTACTGAGGCATCGTCGAGGCCGCGAATAGCGCAGCTTCCTGCGAGCTGTGATCCTCCACAGCCCAACACCCCAGTGAAGCAGTTAGTCTGGGTGGTATGATTCATCTCCTGCACAGCACAGCGCTCTTTGATTCGTTCGATATGCTCACCGTTGGATACACATACAGATCTTTGGAGGTACGGGTCAGATGGGGCACTCCCTTGTCAAATGTGCACTTTCACATGGAGATTTGGTAACGTCGGTTGGTCGCGTATTCGAGACAAGTCTTAAAGACATGGAGAATATCCATGAGAACTGTCTCGGCGCCTTGTGCGACGTCCGCGCTCGCGAATCTGTGAACCGTGTCATCGAGCGTACGCTCCAGCGCTTTGGCCGTATCGATATTGTCGTCAATTGTTCTGGCTACGGTGTCATAGGCGCCTGCGAGGACCAGGATGAGCATGACATACGTAACCAGTTCGAGACCAACTTCATGGGCACGCTTCACATCATTCACGCTACGCTGCCGTATTTCCGCAGGCAGAATGCAGGCCGCTATCTCATCTTCAGCTCAACGTCTGGCGCTTTGGGCGTCCCTGGCCTGGGCCCTTACTGCGCGACCAAATATGCAGTGGAGGGCTTAATTGAGGCCATGCTCTATGAGACGGATGCGTTCAACATCAAAGCTACACTCATCGAGCCAGGCCATGTAAGACCCGAAGAACCAGAGATGCAAGATACGTCGCTTCCAACGTCATGGGGTCATTTTCTTGTGAAGCCACCTAGCGAGACATACGGGCATCCAACATCGCCAGCCCTACATGCACGAAGAATTGTTCAGTGGCTCGGCGACAAGTATCGACCCACGAGCGCTATCAAGTGCGCTGAGCTCGTATGGCAACTCGGACACTGCTCGTACCCGCCGCTACGATTATTATTGGGAAGCTATGCAATTGAGAGCATTCGCGACCGCATGCGGTCTGTGACGGAAGAGTTGGAGGATTGGAAGCACCTCAACTTTCCAGCTGGACCAGACGATGACAGAGAAGCTGGAGAAGAGACAGCAGCAGCAGCAGCAGCAGCTGCTGCTGCTCCTGAAGCCAATGAGGCTGCTGCTTCTGCTTCCTGATATTTGAAATGAACATTGTCGTTAGTTATGGGTGTTGTGCTAAGGCACTTCTGAGGCGCAGGCGCAATTGGATTTCTCGTACCGGGTGGAGTGACTATTAAACGCTAATTCTATGATACAGTACAACACAAATTCTTTTACGAGCTTACTACCCATTATTTCTGGACTCTGAAAGGAGATGCCGTGTGATCGAGACGGATCTGGACCGAAAAAAGGCTGAATATTCTACTCTCTTACTTTCTCTTACTCTCCAAGTCACATACCATTCAACACCATAAAGTTTACCCCTGTCCTTCTGGATGACTCAGCAGGAACGCGCCCCAAATCCAAGTCAAGTTCCATTTGCTCCACGTCTCCCTTTGAGCCCCTCGACCCTGTGGCTCATACCTCGTACTTTCTTTTACAGGGCTCTTTAGTTTAAGGGAGAAAAGACTCCAACGGGGGTTAAAGGGCTGAACACTTTGTCCAACGCGCTGTCATTTCCTTTTCTTACACGACCTGCGACCACCATAGCACCCAACGTTAGACGAACTGATCAAACAGCGTCTCGTTTCGATTCTCGATAGCGAAACCCGGTACTTCCGTCGCATCCCAGTGCTGATCTCGACGTTTTACTCCCACGATCGTTTCGTTTCGTTTCGTCCGCTGCCATAATGACCGACAAGAAGAACGAGGACTATGTCGTCCAGATGGGCACTGACAACTATGATAAGAATGAGAAGCCTTCTTTCCAGGCGCGATCACCGCCTCCCGCAGCGTATGGCTCAAGTCCAGTCAGTGGCCTTGAGCAGTTGGAAAAGAGCCCGCCCTTGTCTATCTTGGCGTATTGTTTGTCGTCAATCAGTATGACCGTTGTCAACAAGTATGTTGTGTCGGGTAGTTTCTGGAACCTCAACTTCTTCTACTTGACTGTCCAGGCAAGGAAATCTCCATGACAAGGCATTGTACCCGTTTTTGACATTGGACCGTGTAGGCTGTCGTGTGTATTGGCGCAATCACTCTGTGCAAGCAACTGGGCTTGATCAAGGTTCTTGCTCCTTTCGACTCCGATCGAGCAAGAAAGTGTACGTTATTGAGGCTCAAGTTGTGACCTTCTAATAGCTAACACGACAAAAGGGTTCCCCATCTCTCTTCTCCTCGTCGGCATGATTTACACCAGTACAAAGTCGCTTCAGTTCCTCTCGGTCCCTGTTTATACGATCTTCAAGAACTTGACCATTATTGTCATCGCATACGGCGAGGTCCTTTGGTTCGGCGGCAGTGTTACACCTCTGGCCCTGCTCTCTTTCGGTCTCATGGTGCTGAGCTCGATCGTCGCAGCTTGGGCAGACATCCAGAGTGCCATCAACGGTGACTTTGGTACTGCCGACTCGGCTGCTGCTGTCTCTACACTCAACGCTGGTTATGCCTGGATGGGAATGAACGTTTTCTGCAGTGCTGCCTACGTGCTGGGCATGCGCAAGGTCATCAAGAAGATGAACTTTAAGGACTGGGATAGTAAGTCATGCACTGTCGGTGTGAATGTCTCTGTTGCTAACATTGTGTAGCCATGTACTACAACAACCTCCTCACGATCCCTGTTCTAGTTGTCTGCTCGCTTCTTACAGAGGACTGGTCCGCCTACAATTTCTCTCGCAACTTCCCCGACGATACCCGTAACAAGATCATTATCGGCATGATCTACTCTGGCCTTGCAGCTATCTTTATCTCATACTGCTCTGCTTGGTGCATCCGCGTCACCTCCTCGACAACATATTCTATGGTTGGAGCCCTCAACAAGCTTCCTATTGCAATTAGCGGCCTGGTCTTTTTCTCAGCCCCAGTCACTTTCGGCAGTGTGTCTGCCATCTTCCTCGGCTTCATTAGCGGTCTGGTCTATGCCTGGTCCCGTGTACGACAATCGATGTCCTCTGGAGGATCATTGCCTACGGTGCGGCCTACGATGAGCGCGAGCGCCAAGAGCAACCGCGATGCCAACTCTTAGATGATACGATGCAAGGCGCAACTTTAGAAGTTAGGCTATTGTGCACGGCGTTGATGATGTGGATAAACATGGCTCCTGCGAATCAAGGGATAAAAAGGCCCCGGGTGATTTATAGAACAGAACCCGGGATAGGGTTTTTTTTGGGTGTGTATATTATTGTAATGAGCACGACGGTGACTTATTTTCTAGTGAGAATAAACAAAGGAGTTTCGGACAGGGTCATCATTCGCTGAATGCATTCTTCTTTTGAGTCCGAATCCTGCAATTGACTGAGCTCTGTCATGATGGACGCGTTGGTGATTAGGCCAGTTGACGGGCAATTTTCCACAACTTGAGGCGCTTAGAGACGATACTGCCCTATACCAAAGCTCTACATAAGCACGCTTCCGCCTCATTGGCACATAGTACTTATAAAGTCCGAGGCTCATGATCAGCCTCAAGGTCATGTCCAGTTTTGAAGATCGACACGTGAAGTGCCCCACGTGGGTCCCTAGGACGTCACTCTGTAAGGTAGGTAGGTGCTAAGTTTAGGTACCTACCTACTACCATGGAATGTCCAAGCTTTTTTTGCTTCTTCTCCAAAAATGTTGGGGGGATCTTGTCTTCCACTCTATTCTAGATAAAGCAAGGGATGGAAATGACGTCCTTCACCTATTGATCAATCAACCCAAAAGAGCTGTCTCTTCCGGCCTCTCTCCCGCCATGATATAGCTGAGGCCGACGCACAATTCCTATTATCTCCCTTTTATTTCCTCTTGGATTGTATAGCCTATCGAGTTTGGAAGCACTTGGACTCTACAGGTATTGATTGTGTGCTGAGCTACCTCAACCGCTAGCAAGATGCTGTACTTTCTGCATAGGCGTAAGTTTCAAGCTGCATTCTTCGTGTAACGGTAACTCTGTTTTTCTAACTATTTTTGCTTGTATAGCTTTTGTGGCCTTAGCAGACACTGTTGGTGCTGCCCCAGACGATCGTGGGTTACTCCCCCTGCCCTAGAGCTTCCTCAAGCTCAATTGACCTCTACCTAACACGACCTCAGTCAAACTCGTCACCTCGTTCCTGATATCATTCCCCCTCGCCGCTCTCCTCAAGCGAATCCCCGACTCCAGACCAGATCTCAAGAACCTCTTTGCCATTAGGTACAACACCAACATCTCAACCCATCCATGTTCAGTCGCACTAACATGTTCAACCAAGCGTATCAATCTTCTACCTCGTCGGCCTCTTTGACCTATGGGATGGTGTCCGAACCCTCTTCATCAGCGCAGGAGGAACATACTGCATCGCCAAGTTCCTTCGAACGAGTCCCTACATGCCATGGATTGGCTTCGCTTTCGTCATGGGCCACATGTCCCTAAGTCACATCGCTCGTCAAGCCGCCGACGACCCAACAAAGGCTGATGTCACAGGCGCCCAGATGGTGCTTCTCATGAAGCTGAGTGCATTCTGCTGGAACGTTGCTGACGGCCAACTCCCTGAGGAGTATCTGTCTGATTTCCAGAAGAGGAATATGCTCAAGGAGCTGCCTCCCATTCTCGACTATGCTGGCTGGGTCCTCTTCTTCCCTGCGCTCTTCGCCGGCCCGTCTTTCGACTTCACCGACTATCGTAAATGGCTTGACACAACCATGTTTGACGCACCCAATGTCGATCCAGCAAAGAAGCCCCCTGTGAGAAAGAAGCGAAAGATTCCTCGAAGTGGTGGTCCCGCAGCTTGGAAGGCAGCGAGTGGCCTCTTCCTTATTGGGATGTTCATGGCTCTAGGTGGTTCATACTATCCTAGCCTGCTCACTTCTGATATTTATGTCAAGTATGGTTTCCTTCGCCGTGTCTGGATCATGCACATGGTTAGCTTCACTGCACGACTCAAATACTATGGTGTCTGGTACCTTACAGAGGGATCTTGCATCCTCGCTGGCATGGGCTACAACGGTGTTGATCCTGTTACGGGCAAGGTCTTCTGGAACCGATTGCAGAACATTGATCCCTGGGCTGTTGAGACTGCGCAGAATCCCCGAGGATATCTTGGAGGCTGGAACATCAACACGAGCAACTGGTTGAGGAACTACGTCTATCTGCGTGTCACGCCTAGAGGCAAGAAGCCTGGTTTTCGTGCTAGTCTCATGACCTTTGGCACAAGTGCTCTTTGGCATGGCTTCTATCCCGGATACTACCTTAGCTTTGTCCTTGCAAGCTTCATTCAGACAGCTGCAAAGCGTGAGTCTATCTTAAAGGCTGATTACGCCGAAACGTATATACGATACTGATAATAGTTTCTAGATTACCGCCGTCATGTTCGCCCATTCTTCCTAGAACCCATCACTGGTAACCCCTCGCCCAAGAAGAAGTACTACGATTTCGTATCTTACCTCGCCACACAACTCACCTTCACCTTTGCCACAGCACCTTTCCTAGTCCTCACACTTCAGGGCTCGCTACTAGCCTGGTCCCGCGTCTACTTCTACGCTGTCATCTGGACCTTTTTGTCACTCGTTTTCTTCTCTTCCCCCGGAAAGGCCGCCCTGAAGCAGCAGCTCGAGAAGCGTCAGGGCCGAGCTAGCGCTAAGTTGGTGCGCTCAATCTCAACGGACAGTCTAACGGGCAAGGAGCCCATTTTGGGTATTTCCAAGGATATCGAGGGTGACTTCAACGAGGCTGTGGAAGAAATCAAGGCCGAGATGGAGATGAGACAGCGGAAGGTCAAGGCGGAGATTGAAGCGCATAAGGCGAAGGCCAAGACAGGCTAATTAAGACTTCATGTGCTGCGGGTCTGTCATTAACCATAGCGGCGTACTCATCACGGAGAGCTCTAGTCTCAAACGTGAAAGACGCATCCGGTGTTATGATGGTGTGTTTCAGGTGTCTGGAGACAAAGAGTTTAGAGCTGATTCTCTGTCATGTACGGAGTAATGGCAAATTCATTGGCAAAATTATACAATATCTTTAGCAGATTATACATCAGTTCATTAATCTATCTAAGTCTGGGATAATCTGTAGTGGTTTGCAGGCCCAGTTTATGTCCCTTAATCTGATTAATTACATGGTATCGTGAAGTGAGTGTCTATGCTGACGGCCTTTTTTCCTCGTCTCAGCATTGCTGCCAAATCCAAACATAGTTGTACAAGTGTATATATCATCCACAATTCCTGATTATACAAAGGTCCATTCCAGGCTTTCAGGCCAAACTTGCAAGACGTTCGAGAGAACAGTAGAGCGTGTAGTTGCATGAGAAGCCCTGGAGGAAAAGAAAGTCGTACGTCGTCGAAATATTGAGACAGAAAAGTGTAAAGGCAAAACATCGTGTCTCGTTGAAAAAGGTACGCTCGGAAAGAAGAAATCGTTGGTCGTTGAAGGTCTTTTTGACAAGGTGCATAAAGATCGTGAGTTTTGCAAAGTTCAAATTGGTTCGAGCAAAAATGGAAAGAATTCGTAATGCGTCGTAAATTGATGAGATGACGTCAAGTTCCATGATAGGTTTCGGAATCAGGACTGTGCTTCTGATCCAGGGTCATCATCATTTTTTTTGGTAAGTGGTATCAATGTCCCCAACGTTGTTTAACACCGACCACGATGAGCGCGATGATGGCGCCGAGGATGAGTAAACCGATGAGGGACATTCCTCGGTTGACCTTCCTCCACCAGATTGCGCTTGTGAAAACGGCATCCTCTTCGCCGCTTGCCCGAGCTGAGGCTTCGTTGCGTTTGCCCAGCTCAGATGTACTGTTGTTCCGTTCAATATCTTCTGTCTGGTTATTCCGTTGAATAGGAATGAGTGCGGCAAACATCCAGGCTGTAACTCCGTTAGAACCGAGTCTCGATGCTCAATTTCAGGGACTTACCTAATGGGAAAACAAATCCCACTACAAACATAGTGACCTGAGCGTTGCGTCGGCCAGTCAGTTCGCTGCGTGCTTCCCATTGCGAGGCGGGAGGTTGCCAAATGCTTTGTGAAACAGGACGTCGGTCTCGAGCCAGGTGAGGTGACCATATGCTAGAGGTTTGCTTCTTGATGTTACGCACGACAGCAAGGACGGGGTGAGCTGGAGCTGCGCTGATGTCCATGGAGCCTGTATTTGAATGCTGGGGAGGTAAGCCTTCACGAGGCCGGCGTCGAGGGTTGCGGATGTTGGGAGCATTGGCATCCTGACTCGGGGATCGGCTGAGCTGACCGTCGGGAGGCTGACTCTGGCTGTATTCAGAGTACATGGACTCCATAGAGGGTTGGGCAGCCAGCCATTTTCGCTCGCCACTGCCATAGTAGACCCTGCAATCAATCAATTAGACAACAATCTCAGGCCGATTTGATTTGCTTACTCACCTAGCCCAGGCAGGAACAGCAGCATTAAAGCTGGCAGTCGATCGCAGACTCCGATCAGAAGAATAACTTGACAAAAACCTCCCCATTCGCGACCGAGACGAGGGATGATGGTAGACTTCCAAATCAGCCAGACCATCGCCATCCTCGTCGTGGTCGCGAACTAGTCGAATAGTACCGGTTGCTGGATCGCGAGGCATGCTTCGCGCGAAGGTCGCTGCAGGAGCTTCGAGTGAATTGCTCCTTGAGTGGGACGGGGTTTCGACATGCTCCTCAAGACCGAAAAGTGAGGATGCCATACTTAGCACATGCTTGCTGTGACTGCTTCCAACCCCACTACCACGTCGACCTGGGACGGAAGAGAGTGAGAGGGCTCGAGACGCAGGCTCACTGCCTCCTTCGCTTTCTGACATCACTGTTGACAACTGTCCACTCCATTGATGAGGGCGTGCTTGAGGTCGGTTCTGAAGGTCTAGCCAAGATGGACCAGCGTGTTGCAAAATTGTCGGGGGTCCAACGAAAAGGGCCCTAGTAGCCTCTTGGGTGAAGATGGTCGATAACGAGGTAATTGATGCAGATCGGGATCGTAAAGTTTCACGAGAGCGGGATTTGGCCAGAGCAAAGCTGTCTGAGGATCTCCTTTTCCTTGGCTGCAATGGGGGAACAATCAAGCTTTCTTGCGAAAATTCAGGTCTCACGCGGTTCCTAACAGCGACGACAGAGGAAGAAGCTGAGTGGCCACCGTATGTTACGACATTAACGTTGCTGTCCTCGGTTTGTGGACGAGTGCTGATATGCAAAGAAGCCTCAGCTGAGGAAGGATCCCCGAGTAGCTCAATATTGGAATGGATCGATGAGGGTGGCAGACTATTTAGGTCTGCTACATTCATGGGAGAGCTGAATCCGTATGTTTTGACATTCGTTCTCTCAGAGAATGTTGATCTGGTTTGTTCGGATAACGAAGATTGAAAGGATGTCTTTTGAGTGAGCCACTGAGAAGAAGGACCAGCCTCATGATCAGGCAGATCAACCTCTGGCAGCGTGGGCAGAGGCAACTCGGGTGGAGCGTCTTGAGTCTGCGGCTGTTTTTGCTTCACGTCAGGTGTTTTAGGTACTTTACGGAGACCCCCAAACAAACGATAGTTCCATGGAGATGAGTTTGAGTTGTCCGGGGTCGACGGATCTCGAGGCCGAGGTGAAATAACTGGAGAACTGGCGTTTCGTTCCGTGAGAGGAGTCATAGGCGAGGCTGGACGGCTCTGGCGATCGTCACTGTATGTACCCATTGATCCTCGACCATAAGATGTGTTACCGGTGGTGAAAGATGGGGGGAGAGACCAGAGAGATTCGACCCTTGACGACATAGAAGCATCTTGAGGAAGTATGGAGAAGGTCTTATCGGCGTGAACATTAATGACCCTTTTGCGAGAAGGAGGTCTTGGTGAAGTTGAGGGTTCCCGGGAAGGTGGGCGTGAAGCATAAGAAGTATGATCATCACCATCGGTATCATAATGGGGCAACCAGGGTGCAGGGTTTTGGTCAAATTCGGAGGATGGATATCGAGTAGGGCGCTTTAATGGCGATGGAGAAAGCACTGTACTTCGAGTCCGGGCCCGCTGCAGGGATGGTGATGGAGTTTCAAACTGAGAGTCGGAGGAATGTGTCGGGGAACCATGTGTCTGAGCAAGCTCTGAATCGGTCTCGGTACTCGCATCAGCGTAAGTAATTGTCTTTGATGTGACAGTACCATCTGAGGCAACCCGTGGAGGGCTGTAAGGGACGACCCGAATTCCGAGACGGTTATTCTGAGAGTTGTTCTGAGAGTTACTACGCTCATGTAATGCCTTGCGCGGCAGAGAGCTCGACGGTGAGACCGACATGCTCTATGCACAAGGCGATAATGACTGTGATTTCCAGGACATCAGGAGACCAAGAATAACTTCCAAAGAAAAACGACTGCCCTCGAAATTGACAATGCAATGCAATTGAGTCAAGATCTCGATCTTGAGTAATATCGGGCTGTCGAAGTCGAGCTCAGTCGGGGCCGGAGGTGGGTCAATGAACTCGGAGGTCGTCACAAGGGCCACGGCCGGGGGACTCGGACAATGGCAAAGATATTAAAAACCACCAAAATAAAAGCGACGATATTATCGAAGCGTCCAATGTTCCAAGGAATAGGATCAAGCAGAGACCAAGCAATTCAATGCGAAACGAGCCGGGGTAGATCGAGTTGTCGCGCGGTGGATCGTTGGTGTTTCGGCCGTGGGAGGAAAAAAGGCTCGTTCGATATAGCAATTGAAGGATTAATTACCAAAATTGGAAGGAACCAAAAGATGAAGAGCAAGACAAGAACAACGATTAACGATTAACGACTAATGAGTCCAGATAAAGAGTGTGTTGAATATCAAAGGCTTGAATGAGTGACTGGCCAGTGGCCGATTATAGCGAGTGTATGTAGTTTGGTTGGAAAAGCACGAAACGAGAGGCGGAAAGAGAAAGACAAGATCATGGGGAAGGGACGGCGGGTAAGTTAGCTAAAAGGGAAGCAACGGTCCCTCCACATGCGACCAACGGCGGCAGGAGCAGCGGCCTACGTGCCTGCTTCCTGCTAAACCGACTTGACCTGGAGGCTGCCCTGAACCTTGGAAGGTGGACAAGCTGTACTGTGGGTATTCCAGCTTCTCGTTCTGCTGGTCTTACAGTAGCAACAGTACTACCTTGTCCAAGACACAGCCTAACTCTCGTGGTAATAATGACTAACGAGTCCAGGACCAGACGAACGACGAGGGTATGGAACGACCCGAGCACACAGACCTCACAGACTCTCACCCTTACAGAGGCTCTTGACACAAGCAATTGGCATTGGATCATTGACGTGTACTGGGCAAAACCACATCAGCCAGTGGTTACAAGCGCCATTCTGCAACTAGCGGCCTTGGGATATTACCTTCGCTGCAGCAGGGTTGCCCCTGCAGACGGGGCGCGGCGACGATGGGACCGTTGGAGGACAGGGGCTGTCAGTCAAGCTAGGAGACCTGAGGGAGATAGGGGCGCTCTGACTGACGCTGAGGACTTGGAAAAAAAAAAAAGAAGAACAGGGCATCGAACGACACCGCAACTTTGACGAAGCAAGGTTGAGTGAGTACCTATGTACAGAGGTTTTCACAACTTGAGCATAATTCAAGCAAGAGAGAAAAGGACGAACCATATCTGTGAGGATAAAAGGAGCAATCTCGAGGCTTGTCTTCAGGACCTATTCTGAGCTCTGATTTGTCCTCCTCAACACACCTTCAACTTTTAGAACTGCACTTGGGGTTGTGCCGTTGTGGATCGGATCTGTGAACTGGAACTGGTTGGACTGCACTATCGACGCTATTGCGGGGAGCCTCTTCCTGTGTGCCCAATTGGCAATAGCTCCGGCTGTGTTGTATCGTAAGATACCAATGGTATCTGTCTTGCTGCAAGACAGGACTTGGATACCTTGAGCAAGCTCTTGGGCAACAGGGAAACTTTGTACCTCGACACAAGATGCCAAAAGCAACTCTTCAAGGGGTCTCCTAAACTTACGATGAATCTACATCAAGCTTTCTGTCGTTTAGGATCAGTATCTTCCACTGCGGAAGAGACATGGCCTGGAGAAATTACTGGACCACCTCTGCCAGGTGGCAGGCCATCAGTGGTGTTGATCCTGGATATGATGAAGCACGTACTCCGTACAGATTCTATATGAGACGACTGGGAATCGATGGACGGGTTCGGCTCTCATCAGCCATTCAATCCGATAAAATTCTGGAGGAATCAAGCGTGCAGCCTGAAAACCGCAGTTACTCAAGTACAGCTGTCCTTGAAGGTCACTATTCCGGCCGCCTATGATGTTTTCTTTCAGGCGCTTGTTTACCTACAGTGTTCCACTTGCTCTGAGCTGGCAAGATACATCCCTCGTCTAACAAGCTGAGTGTATGTCGGTGTACCTTCATCTGGATCAGAGCTCTGTCTTTGCGCCAGTTCCAGTTTACCAGCAGAGAAACAGCGCTTCTCGAAACCAAGACCTGCAGAAAGGTCAAAAACATGCAAGTTCTCTCCACTTGGTCGCCTTGAGGTCTACGGAACTCTTTGACTCGTGCGTTTCGGACAGCGAAAGCCATTCCTCAAAGACAGTCGGTAGTATAACCGGACATCCTTTTAAGCTTTGAGCTGTTGGCGCGCGCAATCTCACATGTGCCTTTTCAACGTGTCAAACTCGCGTTGTCTGCTTATTAAATCGCGTGCATGTATGTTATCTTTAGCATTCGGCTTACATGGGCTTCTTGAGCCGCTTCGATCTGTTCCGGGACAAGGGGTTGAAGCCACTGGCTCCTGAAGTTTCGGAGGGTCGCATGAGGTTGCTCTTCCGAACAACTGCAGTCAACTTTCGAGATACTCATCATTTTCACCTTCTCTTATCGTCCAAGGAGAACAAAAGTTGAGACTGCCAACGTTACCATGGTCACACCCTGACCCCTTCTGCGATAGCGAAAGCAGGTTCATCTCCTTTTCCATGTGCCTCTGCAATGTCACCAGCTCACTCGTAGTCGGTACGGGTAGATGTTAGCTCTGATCATCACGTCTTTCAGACGATCATCCGTTCTTGGGGATCCAACCAGAGCCATCACCGCCTCTCCTCTGTTTTTGGCACCCAAGTCCCGCTGCACCTAGCTAATGCAGGTACCGTTGCTCATTGGGGGTCCTCTTGATTCATGACATTGCCCTGCAAACAAAAGGGATACTGGAGTGTCTACCCAGAGCGTGGCTGAGCATGGGAAAAAGTCAAGTTTAACTGGCCGAGATATTCAAGACTTTGATGTATTCTAGTCATGCACGAGTGTCGATGAATATTTTGTATTTTCACAACAAATAACATTGCTCTACGGTGTAGCATTTTAGTCTGTTCGTTGAAGCTAGTTTTGACCCTGCATTCGTGTCTTGTTCTCAGGTTATGAGATGTTTTATACCATCTCCACATCATTTCGCTTCGTTCAATAACTCTTGTGCCGTGCAGCTCACCGCATGTAATAGTGCATGCGACCCATGAAGCGATATGCAGGGTAGAATGAAGACGAGCAAGGCCTTGTGGAGGAGAAGTGCCCAGCACAATTTTTCTGTTTTTGTGATGTTGCTCAGTGCCCAAGCCAACCAGTAAAAGAAACAGCTATTCTTGGATTGTTACTGAGTAAGCGAAACTGAAGACGCAACCAACAAGGACAAACAATGGTTTTGAACAATAGGAGTTACCCAGTTTGTGGCTGGTGAGGGCTTCATTTTTTCGGCTTTTATTTCCTTAAGCAGCAGAGCAGTCTTACTTGGTTAACTCCTCGAATGACTTCTTTCTTTCTCTGACAAGAGCCGCCATCTTGCTCTGCCCCATGGAACATTCCCGCAAGTGTCTTTTTAGCTCAATCTCTTTGAGCCTCATTGACTTCCTCGCCTCTTCACCCTTGCGAGTGAGAAGATTCGCATTCATATCCTTTTTCAAACTCGAACCATCGATTCTGACATAGTTGCCATGTCTATCTTGAGCTCTGCGGGGTTCGCACCGCCTCAAGCCGTAGCCTTGCTGGTGAGCCTCGCCTCACATCACATCACAACCTCCATAAAACTCATACTCAGCCTCGTGTCATGAGTTCATCGAAATGTGCTAACATACGTATCCAAAGGTCGTCTATTGTCTCGTCTACGTCATCCCTCTCTACTTCTCAGCCGCGACAAGGCCTTCGCCCACTCGCTCTAGAGATGCTCCTGAGGCTATCCGCGCGCGCATCTTTGTCGTCTCACTCTCAACGGCAGCATGCTCCCTCGTGACGCTGTACCTGCTCTCATCTCACGGCGCAATTGCCGTTGAGAAGCCCTTGCATTTCATGGGCTACTGGCCACCAGGGTTCGTCGATGCTGTGCGTGCGCTTTGGCTCACGGCCCTGCTGTTTGCAGGCCCCTTGTATGAGTCTCTCGTCATCGATGGCGCGGCTCATCAATGGCTTCGTCTTCAGCCTCTGAGGCATCTGTGGACTGACTGGCCAACCTGGAGAAACATGGTAGCGGTACGTTTATCCTGAAACTGTTTGATCTCGCTGTCGATTCCTTCATATTCCCCCTTGTCAATCTCTTATCCCCACCTTTATCTCGTCTTGAGCCTCCTCGTCATCTCACCGCTCCGCAATCCATGTTGACTAATTGTTCTGAAGGGTCCTATTACCGAAGAATGCTTGTTCCGCTCCGCTGGTGTCCCACTGCTTCTCCGTTCTGGAGCCAGCCTGGCCGGCACTATCTTCATGTCGCCGCTCATCTTCGGCCTGGCTCACCTTCATCACTTTTATGAGTTCCGTGTCACTCACCCACGGACTCCTCTCCCTGTGGCTATCGCACGGTCATTGCTCCAGCTTTCGTACACGTCCTTGTTCGGAGCATATGCCACTTTCTTATTTCTAAGAACTGGTAGCTTGCTGGCCGTTGTGCTCGTGCACACCTTTTGCAACTGCATGGGCCTCCCACGTCTTTGGGGCCAGCTTGATCCTCACTGGCTACCAGAGGGTGATCCGTCCGTAGCCTCGTCTAGAAAGATGTGGACTGTGGTTTATTACGTACTTTTGGTGGGCGGCTTAGTTACTTGGTGGCAGAATTTGTACTCGTTGACCGAGACATCAATGGCGCTGGCCAAGTTCTAAGATTATCTAATTCATGCATTTCGCAATCGAATTGTTGAATATCGGATTACCAAATGAGATGGTCACTCACAGACCACGCTCCGGCCCCATATGAAATGTCAAGCTAAATGACCTACATGAGCACTGGGGCTAACAGTAGCCTCATTGTCTGTGCATGGAAACAGTAGTCAGGTGAAGGAATAGCCAACAGAATTAGATCGTCATCTGGTCTACTAAAGTCCGGGAGAACCGAAAGTTGTTTCAGGATGGAATGAGTAGAGCTTTTATTTCGTTTACAAAGCCTGACTATACGTAGGGATCTAATTATGAGGCCGCGACCTGGAAATCAGGCAGTGACCCTGGCATCGAGAAGTCATCGCTGTCATTGCTTCTCGTCCCTCGTCGATGCCGAACCGTCCCTCCGGCTCCTCTGTCTCTAATCTCAGCGTCGCCTCCTCGCCCACGTACCTCTTCTCGGTGATCCCGGCCAGCATCATTACCCCGTGATCGACCGATAGATTCGCTTCTCTCGGTTGAAGCATCCTCGGGACCTCTTGTGTTCTTCTTTCTCGGCCAGAGACTTGGAAGGGCAATTTCCTGGAATCGAGGCTCAACAGCTCGCTCATCAAACCAACGGTGAAGGCGAGCTTCGACAAGTTGGGCAATCTTGGGTACGTTGTGCAGTTTGGAGCGACTGCCGAGAAGGCTCCGAATCTCAAAATCCAGTCTGTAGTCGTCCAGGAAATTGAAGATCATCCTCGTGGGTGTCGATTGAGAGGGGTTGCTGGGAATGAAGGAGATGGAAAGGGTGCCACTGAATCTGATCACAGAAACAGCGAGTTCCACGGGTAGAACCGCAGATAGCTTCTTTGGATAGTTAAGGATAAGTTTTGTCCTCACGGCCAGAGTAAGCATGTCGCTCAGATCGACGTCCATACGCGCCTGGAGACGTAAGCCATCTCTCGCTGCCGTTGCCGGATCGAACTTCTTTCCAGGAGCAAGGCTCACTCCATCTTCATCGACAGGGATAATACGGCAATTGCTCAGGATCGGGAAGTCTTCTCCCAGACTCAACTCGGTAACCCGAATCTCGTCAATGAAATCCGGCCTTGAATCTCCATTCAATGCCTTAGTAAGTGAATCAAGAATGGCATCGTCATGCTGAGCATCACTTCGAAACTGAGCAATCGTTTGCGCAATAAGAACATTGAACCAATCGAGACTTTCAGGCTGGTGGCTGTCGACATTGTAGTACGCCTTACTCAGGATCGATCCAATGGTGAGTGTTGGAGGGTTCCTGAGGACAGTGGACTTCTTACGGCTAAGAGATCTGTCTTGAGATCTATCTCCACGGTTTGCCGGGCTCCTGACACTTAGTAATGAGCGCTTGTGAGCAAGAGTTCTTGACCGTCTCTCGGTTGCTCGTAGCGAAGCTGTGACGTCTGCTGAAGGAGGATCGCCGAAGATGAAGAATTTGATGAATGCGGCCAATACCAGAACCACGGAGAGCTGTCCGACTATGAGGCCTTGCGTAAAGGATAGACTATCAGAGCATCAGTCAGCTTTGGTAAGGACTTCTCATGATGCAGGGTTCTTTGATTCACTTACGTCGGCTCTATCAGCCGGGGACAAGTATCTGCTTCCATGGCAGCAGAATTAGGTGTTAGATGCTACTCAAAGTCACTGCGCTCTGTTTATATTGGAAGCTCCAAGCTCAGATGATTAAGAAGACATGGGTACCATTTCAGCTCCTGTGGGCAATGATCTCATTGATGTCACCGAGAGCTACCATGATGAAGGTTGAGGTTGGTAGCGCGGGTAGCTCTTGTATTATGTAAGGCATCCAGGCCAGACTTCCAAGGCTGTGGGGCGCTCACCTACAACACATAGACTACAGCGGCAGTGGCATCTTAGAGGTCTCCCTGTTCACAACATCAATCATTAACAACAACAAGTTCTCTGAATCGCGGCCCTGAATACCACTGGAATACCTGGTGTCTCTCACTGCATGACACTTACACTCATAAAGACCTCATATAGCAGCCCGGGAATAACACGTTTCGCGGCGCCGGTGAGCCCCAGCCATCAACATGGACGTCGCCCAAGCAGTATCAGGGTACATCAATAAGGTGGTTACGACGAGCGATACGTCGTCTGCCAAGATGAAAATTCTCTTACTCGATAGAGAAACAGTCTCTATCGTCTCGACTGCGGTCACACAGTCTTCTCTTCTCAATCATGAGGTCTATCTCATCGACCGTCTGGACAATGCTGCGCGTGAGAAGATGCGACACCTACGATGTCTATCATTCGTGCGGCCATCGCCGGAATCAATCCAGCTACTCATAGATGAGCTTCGTGATCCCAAATATGGCGAGTATCACTTGTACTTCACAAATGTGGTCAAGAAGTCGTCCTTGGAACGCTTGGCTGAGGCTGATGACCACGAGGTGGTCAAACTGGTACAAGAGCACTTTGCTGATTACAATGTCATCAACCCTGATCTCTTTTCTTTCAGTTTTACCCTTCCGCAACAGAGAATCTGGGCAGGGAGTCCTGATACGTGGAATCCCGACTCTTTACAGCGATGCTCAGAGGGCTTGGTTGCTGTATTACTCTCACTCAAGAAAAAGCCCCTCATTAGATATCAGAAGACAAGCCCCCTAGCGAAGAAGCTCGCGTCAGAGGTCCGGTATTTGATGACCCAAGAGGATTCACTGTTTGACTTCCGAAAAGTTGATACTCCTCCCATTCTGCTTGTATTGGATCGCCGGGAAGATCCGGTGACGCCACTGCTCACACAATGGACATATCAGGCCATGGTTCACCATCTCTTGGGTATTCAGAATGGGCGAGTCGATCTAAGCGATGTTCCAGATATTAGCCCAGAGCAAAAGGAGATCGTTCTATCACAGGACCAGGACCCATTCTTCAAAAAGAACATGTTTCTGAACTTTGGCGACCTTGGAGGCAACATCAAGGAATACGTTGGCCAATTCCAGTCGAAAACCAAGAACAATGAGAACATCGAGTCAATATCGGATATGAAGCGATTTATTGAAGAATATCCGGAATTCAGAAAGCTCTCCGGCAACGTCAGCAAACATGTTACCCTGGTATCAGAACTTAGCAGGCGTGTAGCTGCCGATAACCTCCTAGAGGTTAGTGAGCTGGAACAAAGTCTGGCTTGCAACGACAACCACGGGACTGACGTAAAGGTATTACTTGTCCTCTTGTATGAACCTTGAGCATGAGCTAACACGATTCGTAGAATATTCAGCGACTCATTCAATCACCGAACGTTACACCAGAAAGTAAGGTTGGCCTTGTGGCTTTGTATGCTCTCCGCTATCATAAACATCCTTCCAACACTTTGCCCATGCTTCAGGACCTCCTCGTCGCTGCCGGAAACGTATCTCCGCGAGAGGCGGATTTGGTCAGCAAGGTGACAGCGTATCACAACTCCCTTCAAGCGTCACAGTCTCAGGGCGGAATTTCAGAAATCTTCGAATCGGCTGGCATTTTCTCCGGTACTGGCAGCCGCTTCAAGGGCCTGAAGGGAGTAGAAAACGTCTATACACAACACAGCCCATTGTTGGAGACTACTCTACAGAACTTGATCAAAGGGCGACTCAAGGATCAGCAATACCCCTTCGTCGAAGGTGGTGGCACGACCAAAGACAAACCTCAGGATATAATCGTATTCATCGTCGGGGGTGCGACTTATGAGGAAGCCAAGATGATTGCGGAATTGAACGCGTCGAGTCCGGGCGTGAGAATAGTTTTAGGAGGGACAACAATTCACAACTCGGCGACATTCTTGGAAGAGGTGGATGATGCTGTCAGTTCATGGCCAGAGAGCCGTGGTAGGAGGTAGAGATTACAGTCATATGAGAGATAGTATCAATTGCAGCGACTATTTTGAGCCATTTTATATCAGATACAGATAATGCCAACCATTGAATTGTACCTGAATTTACTGTCTGTTGCAAGGATGTATCATGATGAAGTACTGATGTGGGTGAGGGAACGCCGATTTGTAACCTGATTGGATGGAATGCATTGACTAAACCCGTACTTTCTGGTGCCAACACCCAAAATTTGGAGCTTGATCCCGTCATGAGGGCAAATTTTACGACGACAACAACATGAAATGCGTGCGCTACTAAGACCTAGGGCAGCCGCAATACGGCATCAATGGACAATTACGAGACGGCGGTACCTTGCGACTGTTTCCGGTGATTTGCAGTACGTCTCAGCTAACAATATCTCGTCGTCATGACACCCATCGCATCGCAAACCATCACTGACACCCCGCTCTAGACCTTACGATGTCGTTGTAATCGGAGGCGGCCACGCGGGCGCTGAAGCATGTGCTGCTGCTGCACGATCTGGCGCAAGAACAGCCTTGGTAACGCCGAAAATTGACAACTTGGGAACGTGTTCCTGTAACCCGAGTTTCGGCGGCATCGGCAAGGGCACGATAATCCGAGAGATCGATGCGCTCGATGGGTTGGCGGGGAGAATTATCGATAAATCAGGTGTACAGTTTCATACTCTGAATCGGCGAAAAGGCGCTGCTGTCTGGGTTCGTCGACTCTTGGGATTCGTTGTTGGAAGAAGTGGCTAATGAACCCGGCGATAGGGACCCCGCGCTCAAATCGACCGAGAACTCTACAAGAAACACATGAAGGCCGAACTCTCTTCGTATCCCAATCTGTCGATCATACTCGACAGCGTGTCCGATATCGTCACTGAGCCTCAGGAATTGTTCGAAGGCGCGTCAAGTCGCATTGCGGGCGTGCGCCTGGAGTCTGGTCAAACTCTCCCAACAAAAAAGGTCATCATAACAACAGGGACATTTCTCGGGGGCGAGATACACATCGGGCTGACGGCGTATCCAGCTGGTCGACTCGGTGAGGCGGCGACATTCGGGCTGAGCAAGTCACTGCGTGATGCGGGCTTCGAGCTGGGACGCCTCAAGACTGGCACACCCCCCCGAATCGACGCAGCGAGCATAAACTATGATGTGCTGGAGAAGCAGTATGGCGATGACCCACCAACACCATTCAGTTACCTCAACGAAACTGTGGCGATTCAGGAGCAGATGACTTGCAGTGTTACGTACACGACGGAGGATACTCACCGGATAGTGCGCGAAAACCTTGATAAGACCATACACATTCGAGAGACAGTCAAGGGCCCACGCTACTGCCCCTCTCTCGAGTCAAAGGTCATTCGCTTCGCCGACAAGGAACGACACATAGTTTGGCTCGAGCCCGAAGGTTTGGACAGTCCTGTCATCTACCCCAATGGCTTGTCTATGACAATTCCTGCTGAGGCGCAGGAGGAGGTCTTGCGCACAATCCCAGGTCTCGAGAACTCAAAAATGCTTCAGCCCGGGTACGGTGTTGAATATGACTACATCGATCCACGTGGTCTGAAGTCGACCCTCGAGACAAAAGCCATCAGCGGTCTGTACTTGGCTGGTCAAATTAATGGCACAACTGGGTATGAGGAGGCTGCTGGCCAAGGTGTCCTTGCGGGCATTAACGCCGGTCGTTCCTCTCAGGGCTTTCCACAGGTTTTTCTCTCAAGAGGGGATGGGTACATTGGCATCATGGTGGATGACCTTATCACGAAAGGTGTCACTGAACCCTACCGGATGTTTACCTCTCGAAGTGAATTCCGCATGGCATCACGTGCTGACAACGCTGATGTTCGACTGACTACCAAGGGCTATGGGTGGGGTGTCATATCAGAGAAGCGCTGGAGTCGTTTCCGTGATGAGAGACAGCAGATTGATGACCTTACCAAACTCTTACAGTCGGTGTCGTTGAGCCCCCTACAGTGGATCGAGAAGGGGTACCATATGAAGCGCAACACTCAGCGTCGCGATGGTATAGATGTCCTCCGTCTCTCAAACCCTGAAACACGCGTCGACGTCGATCGGCTTGCACCAGTCATCCCAGGCGTAATGGACTTTCCACCTCGCGTACGCCGTCGTGTCGAAATCGAGTCCTTTTATGCCCCGTACATCAAAATCGCCGAGTCAGAGCGCAAGCAGCTAACAAACGATGAGCGCGTCAAGATACCTCTCGATCTTAACTATGACAATATCCCTGGGCTTGCAATGTCAGAGAAGGAGGCGCTCAAGGCAGCGAAGCCAGAGAACCTCGCACAGGCGAGGCATGTCGAAGGCGTGACTCCGTCGGGCAGTTTACGTTTGCTCGCTCACGTTCGTCGAAGGCCTGGAGCATACTTGTTGGAGAATGATGCTTCACGTGGGCGCAAGACACAAAGGACGAATAAGAATCGAGGCGGTGTATAGGTTAATTGGGATCAATGGCATATAACTGGCGTTTCATTGAATAAGGTATCTGGGGGGAACAAGAGAGGTTTTAAATAGATCTTTTAAAAGTCAAATATTTCTGCCACACTCTCAGCATTATCGTCTAAGTGGGAATTCGAGTCTCAAAGTTCGAATATGCAGTTTAAGATTTGTTCTATCATCATCGACGCTAGTGTTGTACATTAAGGGGGTATATGCAGGATGTTCTAGCTCAAGCTCAAGCTCAAAGTTCTGTTCGAGCCTTGCTGAACTTTGTCTCGTTCGAATTTTGTCTTTTCGTTCAAACCTTGCGTTTCCTGCTTTCTGTATGACCCTAGGCTCGGGCCGCGTTAGGTGAAGCCAAATTTGTGGCCTTTTCTGTTACTATCGTGGTCTGCAGCTTGATAGACTTTGAACGACCATGTCAAATCAGTCTCTTTTAGAGTTCTGCTTATTAAGGATTTTTACTGCATCCTTTGTGTAGATGTAGCTTGCACCGCTCCAAATGGTGGTAGCAGCAACGACGTATCTGGGTACTTTTAGAATGAGAGTTATGGAAAGCCAGTATGGTTTAACTTACTGCATGACTGTCAGGGCAGATGACAAGTCGGTGCTCAGAAGGGGCGCAGCAGTCGTGACTCCGACGAGCGCAAGTTGCAAGAAAGTGTTGTACTTGCTAATAGTCGTGGGGCGAACTTCAGCTGATGGAAGTGAAAAGTCCCAATAGCGGGCAAATGTCTTTGGTGGAGGGAGAGAAATCCATCGGTAGTAAATTGCAGAAATAGCGAGGCCGACATCACGACCCAGGATGATGCCAGCGCACCAAACTTTTACACATTAGCTTTTGAGTTATCACGGGTCAACAGGGAGCATGGACGCACTCGGCAATGCGCCCTTGGCAGCCAGACAAATGGTCAGGATCGTCATGAGAGTTTTATCTGCCATTGGATCAATGACTGTGCCCACGACTGTCTTGCTGTCCCAGCGACGCGCAATCCATCCATCGAGGAGATCTGTTACGCCCGCATAGGCAAAGAGGCCAACTGCCCATGCGTGCTGATCGTGAAGAACGAGGTAACCAATGACCGGGGCAGCGACGAGACGTGTGAAGGTTAATATGTTGGGCAGCGTGTAAATGTCTTCGTGCAGGACGGCAGCAGGGCGTGACGGCTTGGTATCGTTATCGTGCACAGGTTGAGTCCTATGTACAATGGGTCAGTACAATACAGTCAATCGGTACAGTTGGACCCTGTACTCACCCGAGAGGATTCTCCTCTATCTTTGTCTGTGGGGGCTTGTGATCCGACCATGACTGGGCCTTTGTGAAGAAGAGACATCGCGGGGTTGACGCTATCGTGGGTCTGGGCGCGGACCTCACGAGAGCAGGTATTGACCTCGCGGTACACCTCGTCGTCGCCCGCCAAGCCAATCTGGCAGAGAGACTCATCTCTGCGCTTGTCTTGTCCTTTTCGAAAACGGGCGCTGCCCAAACCCTCTCGTCAGTCGCTTAATTGCTCCCGGGAAGGTATAATCTTGCTTGGTTGTTTTGGCGATGCAGTTGGAGCAAAGTTGGGAAACCCCGTTTAGAACCCCGGACCCCGCTTATCTCATGTCACGATTTGTCAATCAATATCGAGATGCCACCAACTTCGCGATCTTGAGTCTCATGATATATAGTTGAGCCTCGTACTGTCAATTATCTGTTCATTCGACTTTATGGATTTCAGACCATCATATGTCATGAATATTTGAAGCGTCTGCTACTATCCCAAGGCCCTCTTGTTTTTGAGTTTGTCTCAAACCCTGTTGGTGAGGAAGCCGGTTTTCATTGGTTGTGAGATTCTTCAGTATAATTGTAGTCTGCGACGAGTAAAGGCAAATCGGATAATTAACGTATCTAAGCATTTTCTGTCTGAATCAGAGTTTCACAGGTCATACAAAGGTTTTACTTTATACATCTGTAAACTTAAGTTGAGATTGCCAGCATCGCAGTTCAAGATGTTCAGAGAATGAAACACACGGGCCTACCCTAAAGTGCCAGTATATGCTGACACGGAGTATGCCAACTGCCCAGTTCTCGGGAGATAGAAAGCTGGATCAAGAGGTCCTCATACTTGGACATTTGGAGGGGGGCATTGTGAACTCCCCGAAGATTGGCCTGACAGTATAGCCGTAATAGGTGGTAAGTACGGACAGCCAAATCTGGATGAAGACGTGTCGGTGGCTTCTCAGAAGAGCGCTCCAGATTACGATACGACTATGATCATTGCCACGGTGACTACCTATTCACAACACTTACGGTCGTCGCGGGCAGGCGGGGTACAATTCGTATCATGACCATTCTGGCGTCCCCCGCACTGCAGCGTCGTAGTACAATAGGGCAGTGTACCTAGGTGGTTGGGGTTGACCAGAGGCGCAACTGGGAAAGCTGGTGGCTGTTTCACAGACGTCACTATGTTCCCACATCTTAGCTATTCGAAATCATTAGACCGTAGACTGGCCGCTAAAAACAAAAGGAACTACGCAGATGCCGAAGGGACTGATATGGATCGTCTGCCAAAAAATGGCTCTGGCGTGAAAGAATTGATAGTCAAGGTCGAGATCGAATTGACAGGACTGGACCGGACTGTTTAGGGCGTAGCGCTAGCGCTGAGGAACTGGCAGATCAATCCGAAGAATGTGACGCGGTCCCACGTGACCCCGCGTTGTCACATCCCACGTCCCTTGGAGAGACAAGGATCATGGACAGGGATATCAAATCGATAACTTAACTCAGACGACACCCAAAACATTAAACCATAACTCCAGATTTTAGAAATCAACTTCAAACCGTCACCCGAAACTCAGTCGATCTGGCCAAACTCTTGCTCTCAAAACCGCTGGAGTCAAAAGGCAAAGATGGCTGGGTCCCGAGAGGATCCCGTCGAATTGGGGAGCGACATGGACGAAGATGAAGCGCTACGCTATGCTATCGCCCTTTCACTCCAGGAACAAGAGGGACAGGGAGACCAGAGTTCGCAGATCCCGAGCGCCTCAACCTCGACATCCCACCGGAACGGGACTGGCTCGGGCGGGGCCTCCTTGGGTTTGCTCTCGCTTGATCGCAAGAAGATGGAAGAGGAAAGGTTGCAGAGGTTAGCCAAGCGGCGCCGCTCGCCAGAGGACGAAAGAAGTGTTGACGAGGTCCCGCCGGCAAAGAGGATGACACCATCCGAACCTTCCAGGCCTGTAACCGCACCGGCAACGGCACATGTATTACCGAGCTTCGTTCCCTATCCCAAAGGTGCTATCAAAAGAACTTGGGCCAAAGGGTATCCGCGGACTTCCGATGATATCAAGATCGAAGAAGTGTTTCAGAAGGACAAGTTGGAGCTTGCCCTTCTAAGCTCGTATCAGTGGGATGATGAATGGCTCATGTCCAAAATCGACCCGAGAAAGACCAAGCTGTTGCTCCTGGCATTCGCCGATAGTGAAGCCCAGGTGTGTATCAATGACCAGTCCTGACTCGTTCGGGATATCCCTCGCTGGGCCCCTCAAATAGACAAGACTAAGAGGCTGACGCCGAAACCTGCCGCAGAAATCAGAGATGCTATCAAATGCGCCACCGGGAATCAAGTTCATCTTTCCGGCAATGAATGGGCCTGGGGCTATGCATTCCAAGCTGCAGTTGCTAAAGTACCCTGAGTATCTTCGAGTTGTGGTCCCAACTGCCAATCTCGTCCCCTATGATTGGGGGGAGACTGGAGTCATGGAGAACGTTTGTAGCTGAACCGAGGCGATTTCGATGCCGTCCGTGACGGGATTGCTAATGAGTTCTCCAGATGGTCTTCGTGATCGACCTCCCTCGTCTAGAGGACCCCGCGAATTATCGGCAAACCGCATTCAGCACTGAGCTCGGCCGATTCTTGTCAGCAACTGGTGTTGGTGAGGGCATGGTCAGCAGCCTCGCAAACTACGACTTCTCACAGACAAAGCACCTTGGCTTTGTGTACACCATGTAAGCCTATCAAGACCTTGAAGATTGGGTCATGCATGGCCTGATGATCATCATGCTTGACCCGCATGAACGATGCACTGATACTAGATTCTAGCCCTGGTGGACATCAAGGAGATTCCTTGAAGCGAATAGGTCAGTGGACGTGCAAGTTTCGATGAATGTTGTGCAACAACGGCTCATGTCATGTAGGATACAGCGGGCTGGGCACCACTGTGGCTGCTCTCGGGCTAGCCACTGACGAACCAATCGAAGTGGATTTTGTCGTGGGTACCATTAAAGTCGCATACCAGTCTAAAGAGCATTGATTCTAACCACGGATGAGCCTTACTGCAGTGCGCCTCTCTTGGATCGCTAAACTACGACTTGGTGGGCGCAATCTACAATGCATGTCAAGGTGAGGAGACGTCGATACTGTGTACCCCCCTCTGCTGTTTACCACACACATAGTCATTCACCTGTAATAGATGTGGACTGACGAGTGGTGAATTGCAGGAGATGATGGCATGGCCGAATACAAGTCGAGAATAGGCCGAACGGGCGCAGCATCCAAAAGCAAGGCGTCAAACCCGTGGCAGAAGAAGCTAAAGGACCGTTTCCGAATATATTTTCCGACGGATGAGACAGTTGGCAGAAGTCGTGGTGGGCGTAACGTAAGTTTACCTGGAGCATGGCATTGCATTGATGGATGATCTTGGATAAACTGGAGAATCCTCACATGCGACAAGAAAGACGCAATGAAAAGCCAACGCTAACTTGTGAGCGCGCTGATGCAGGCTGCGGGCACCATCTGTGTCCAGCCCAAATGGTGGCGCTCGCCAACCTTCCCCACTGAGCTGGTGCGGGACTGTGTTAACACCAGAGATGGGCTCCTGATGCACAGCAAGATGATCATGGTATCACAGACGCAAGCGGGAAGTCAATTGCAAACGCGTCCGCAAACGCGACCGGAGCCGCGACACCACGATTCAGGGCCGGCTGCCGCGGAGCCGAAAACGGAAGAGATGTCTCTTGGCTGGGTCTACATTGGCAGCGCAAATCTGTCAGAAAGCGCATGGTGAGTGAGACCCTGACCCTGCCCCCATCGAACCCCCTCTTTTCTGTAAGACATGGGGGAAACTTGAGACAAGGCAGCAAGCGAGCGAACATCAACGGCCAGTGCGATGGTGCGGTTGTTTAGATAGTGTAGCGCGCTACTAGCTGCCTCTTGAGGAGAATTTCAGCATGACTGGCACGAAACTGTGACGATTTCATGAATCTAACGCTGACGGTTGCGGCTACGTTGTGCCATACAGGGGCCGCATTGTCAAGGACCGAGCGACAGGACAGCCAAAGATGAGTTGTCGCAATTGGGAGAGCGGTGTTGTAGTGCGAATTAGCAACCCCAAAAACAGCAGCACCGTCTCCGCCAGCTTCAGCACCAGCGCCAGCGCCGGTGCCAGTTCCAGTACCAAGGTCAAGGCGGCAGAGGGCCAGGCACGGCCATCGGTGCGGGCGGGGAAGATATCGGCGGAGCCGGACAAGGGATGTGATACGAGCCAACACAATCATCACCACTACCAGATGCAGAAGCAGAAGCAGAAACAGAAACAGGAGGAAGGGCTCACGGACACAGATGCACAAGCAGATTCAGACATGATGAGCGGCGCTGTTTTCGAGGGCACAGTCCCAATACCAATGCGACGACCAGGTCGACGCTATGGTGAGGGTGAAGAGCCCTGGTTTTACAGTGTGCAGGGCTGATCGACCAGGGCGCGTTTGTTAGCCATTTTTGGGGCACTAAGCGATCAAAGATGAAGAAGAAGGGCAGAAGATGCACTGAACAGGTCATAGATGTTGAGGACGGCAGTTGTGAATAACCCTGTCATCTCAGTTTGATATTACGGTACTGTAAGATGGATTGGATGGGCGTTGGCCTCTGCGCAGTACCGTATCAGCCGTATGTACATATCTGGCAATCTGCAGATGCTCACGTTTCGGATTCGGCATCATTGATCAGTCGACGCAACGGTATTGCGATGCGGGCATGTGAACAGAACCGGTTGATAGCAAGGTCACGCTCGTTTACCGATGATAGTGATACCACCATATATCCCGTAAGGTGGTTAGTTTAATTACTATAGAATGGCTCTAGGGATTAATGACCCAGGTGCTTGCCAGGTCCAGGAATATAGATGGAGATGAGGAGACGTAATGAGTTGATTCTCTGAGTGTTAGTATCGTGGCGATGCGATGGGATGCGATTGGGATGCGACAGGGCACAGCCGATGCCAAGATGGGAGTTGGATCATTTCAAACGGAAGACGGAAGCACGACGAGCATCAGTATCTCGAACTGGGGGTTTGGGGTCGAATTTACAAATCAAATCATGAAGGCCAGGACCAGGTATCTCGGTACTTGGCGGGCTGACAGTAAAACCCATGCGAATGGTCTCAAGCGATGACACACGATTACAAAAGCCAATTGGGGGATCCCACCCAATGGGAGGCTGAGTGCCGCCTCGTCAGTCGGCTCTCCCACCTGTGCGTGCGTTCTTTCCCAGTCGCAGTCCCCTTTCCCCCCTCCAGACAAAAGCAGCAGAGAACAAAGAGCAAGGACAAGGGACAAATGGCCAGGTAGCCAGGGTGTGGCAGCCCAGAGGAGAAAGAGTGATGGGCGGAGTAGCCAATCACGGTAAAAGGCAGAGATGGCCTGCAGTACGGCAGGTGCGACAGCCAATCAGAAGCCCCCAAAAGGTACCTGGGAAGAGGAACGGGTGGAGAGCACTAAGAGCGCCCCAGAGACCCATAAGACAGGCACCGAAGCCAATGCCGGAGGTCGCTGCATACCATGTCCATGGACTTGACCTTGTTCGTTTTCATTTTCATCATTTTTTCAGGTCCATGTCCATGCCTAAGACATGGGCTCCTGCTATTTTTTCTGTTCCTGTTTGCGGGAGTAAGGTAGCAGTGTCGGTCCGGGGAGCTGCTTGCGCGCGCGCGTTCCACAGTTATGGAATCAATTAATCAATCTGGGCAGCAGCGTCGCGTCGCAGATTCGACATGACACGGGAGACGGTGTTTAGTCTAAATGCCGATAAGGCACAGCAGAGCATCAAACACGGGCACCCATGGCATGGCAGTTGAGGTGACATGATGTGAGATGACTTTACATGGAATACGCCATGATATCCGTCCGCATCAGACTCCGTAACTCAATTGACGCGCGGCAGGATAAGGCACGTTAAGCTAAGGCAAGGCGAGCAAGACAACCAGACCCAGACATCCAGACAGCTCGCCTAAGACTAGACGAGCAAGGCCAAAACACAGGGATCAGCCAGGCACACACCAACACCAAGCCCAAGCCAACCCAACACCAGCGAGATTTGCATATCCAACGGGCGAAGTAGAAAATCTGGAATCACCAACTAAACCACGAACCGACTAACTAATCGCACTAACTAATCCTCTACTACTTCGGCATCTTCCTGTGATTTCATTTTGATACAGACCTACCTACTCAAGATTGGGGCAAAGCCAAGAGAAATGGATAAATCGGATCTCGTGTCAGGGGCCTTTTGCTTTACGCCCCCAAACAATAGAAGAGCCGGCTCAAGAGTGAGTGATACTGTCATTGACTGTAGAGAGGAGAGGAGCTCAGCCCAGAAGTGATGTGAGTGAGCTGTGATGGTTGTCTATGGGGGCTGTGGTGCTTTGGCCCTTCTTCTCCAATGTGGATAACAGAAATCATCCAAAAAAGAAAGAAGAGGGGTCGATGAGTGTCAAAAACAGCACAGACGAAAAGTGATGATGAACATCCAATGACAAGGCGGCTCAAACGAGTTCGCATATAATGGTGTAGAATGTCGTCCAAGATGATAACAAAGAATATAATGGTATTGTTAGAGAGGGAGGATTGAATTATTCTGCAGCGCCAAATCAGACACATCACATACATGCCACACACATATCGAGATAGACGAAAATCATAGCTAGAGGCATTGTGATGGAATATTCTCAAGACAGAACGGCATAGTGCGTCACTGATGCATTAAGGAGGGGTGCAAGGGCTGAGGGATGTGTCCCCAGACGTGCCTCTATCAAAGCTGGATCCACCTCCAAAGCACTTCTCATGAGGAGAGGTACCGTCTTCAGGGACGAGGTGAGGTAGTTCCAGCTGGGATGGGACGGGGGGGACGGGGGGATGGGGATGTAAGTTTTCATTGCATTAAGCTTCCCGTCGATTTGGAGAAAGGCTGAACAGCTCTAGCTAGATCTGAATCCTAGAATGTAGATAGTGAAGAGCTTCTTTTGAATTGAAGAAAGCATCTTGAGAGAATGATTCGCCCAAGCCCTTGCACAAATAGCGATCGAATTCTTCTAGAGTGAGACACAGACAGACCTGGAGGGAACCCCAAAGATGATGGCAGGTAAGGTACCCAAGTGACCTCGACACAGCTCGCGGTCTCTCGGCCGCATACAAACAGCCCGCAACTACCTCTAGAGTAGATCCGGAAAGCCACCACCCACTTCAACAGCAGGTGTGAGACACCACCACCACACACACGTACCGATACGGGAGGCAGGCTCTTGAGGTACTTCGGCACATGCTCCGACAGCGCGATGTAGGGGCTTTACTGGGGTATCTGTTCAGTCAGCGGAAGTACCTGCCCAATGGTGAATTCAGGACGTTTCCAATGGGCCTGACCCCTAGGTACCTGAAGTTAGTAAGGTAAGGTAGAGTCGAGGAGGAGGCAGGCAGGTACCTACCTCGTAGGCGGGCGGGCGGGTACGTACCTTTCTCATACCCTGCCGTACATCTTTTTGCTGCCCTACCGACTCAATACCACCTGTATGGACTGCCGTACTGACTGACACTGACCCGACCTGTCCCCAATATCCCTGGAAAGATGGCCGCGGGTACCGTAGGGAGGTTAGGACCAGGTACACCTTACCTGCTTGCAGTTCCATTTCTCTCTTCCTCCTTCCTAGGAGGTCCAAACGACATGGATGGCAATGGCAATGTGAATGAATGACACGCGTGGATATGGAACGGCATCTAAGCTGAGGGAAAGGCCGGATACAGACACTACCCAGGATGTGGTTGACGCAGACGGGAGCCAGCCAACAACCTAAGTGCCAGGCCAGCCGGGCCCCAGATTCAAGCCCAGGGAATTACTAGGTACCTACCTGCTCTTTCCTAAATCCAAGCTTGAGTCCATCCATCTATGCCATGGAAGCGCAAGTGCAACTAGCCTTTAGCCTGCCCTGTAGTGTAGATTGCCTACTTGGGTAAGTGCATTGCATTGCATTCGACTACATTACATCCAAGCCATCCACTTACACCTCAACTTCACTTCACCACATTTCATCCACATTGCTCTCTTATTCTTTATAATTTTCTTCTTCGTTTTACCGACCATCTATTGTTGACTTTGACGAACTGGCTTTCACAATCATTGCCACCTGGCGCTTGAACAGGATACACATACGCCTCGAACCAATTACGTCGTGCCCTCATTTGCTCAGATATTCTTCACCCAGAAAGTTTATGGTGAAATAAAGAAACAGCTCACGCTCTCCAATACGCCCGCCCTTTTGCCACAACTGGAATACTTTCGTCTTTTGCAAATAGCCTTTTGTTGAAGGCCCTCGTGATACCCATTTGCACGCACTGTTTGGTGCAATTTCACGCTGTCGACTCTGCCTTCGGTGCGGCTTCTTTCACGATAAGAGAAAAGGGCCTATCAGCTTTGGTGGCTGGAATCAACGCTCGATCAGGCGTTCAATTGCTTTCCGCCTCATTCGCTGCAGCGACCTGTTATAAGGCAGTGTTCGCCAGGAGGAGGCTCAAGACTGGTACATAAAACCCAGGCCATCCTCGACTTAAGACTTGGAACTTTCTTCTTTGAAGACTGACTTAAAGTCCAAGGGTTAAAGGTCACTCACACACACTCAAACCACCCTTCCACTATCCCTGCCTTCTCCATCTACCTCTCTAGCCTTGAAGGGCATCTCTTCCAACATGGCTGGAACTATGCCACTTCGACCGACGTACGTCGGTTTCGTCCGGGATACTACTGATGCCCTCCTCATTTTTGAGGCATGTCTCTCTGGCACACTCTCTCATGTTCCTCGTCGACCACATGACCGTGAGCGTCAAGATCTCATCAAGAGTGGCAATATCTTCGTCTACGAAGAGCATGCTTCTGGAATCAAGCGCTGGACCGACAGCATCTCATGGAGCCCTAGCCGCATCCTAGGCAACTACCTCCTCTACCGCGAGCTTGAAAAGCCCTTCCCACCCGGAGAAAAGAAGCGCGCCAGGGGGAGGAACGGCAAGTCAACCACGCAATCCGGAGGCATCTCAAAAGCCCGACAACGGAACACTGTCCCTTTCCCACAAGGCCTCGAACATGGTAATGAGTATCCTTCTGTGCCCAGTGATGATGAGCGCCATCTGGTCGGCTCGCTAGTCGACTCGTACGACTTCAAGGAACAAGGACTGGTCAAGAAGACAATCAGCATTACCTACCAAGGCGTGCCTCACCACCTCGTTAGCTATTATAATGTGGAGGACGTCAAGGCAGGTCTGTTGTCTGGTCCTTCGGACGACCCCAGACTCCGCGGCGTTGTCCCTCGCACCGAGCTCATGAATGGCCAGAACTTCCGCGCCCCGGTCGAGGAAGCAATGGGCGGCAGCTACATGCCAAGTATGGTTGCCTCTATCGGCTATCCGACACTCCAACACCAGTCACAGATGCA